GAATCATGTAAACCCTAATCGAGTTTGCTTCCAGCTCTCGTGGTGCCGTCCGCCGCGGCGAGCTTGGCGAGGGGGTGGCGTGCTTGGCGAGGGGGGTGCCATGGAGGGGAGAGCACTCTGCTAAATCAGGGTGTGAAGACCCTGTTAAAAATATTTAAAAGTAAAAATCCATCCTTGCTTTCCTGAATTTCCTCCCTGAGGAAAAATGAGCAATCCAAACCGCTGCTGGTGTAGGGGATTTAAGGGAGCCTGCGGGACGCACGTGCGCCTGGTGCGGGGTACCTGGGAGTGATGGGGTCACGCTGAGCTTTCCTGGGGGGCTTCCTGGTGTTCCCCCTGGGTTGTTTGCCTCGGGGGCAGGTGCCATACGCTCGGCTCAGAGCTTGTGGGGCCGCCAGCCCGTGCTTTATACCTTTTGTAGGATGGCCCCAAATGCTGCAGGTGAGCAGCGAGGGAGATCGCTGCCGCCGGGGCCGGAGGAGGAGGGATCCGGGCGCTCGCAGCGCAAGTGCCGTGGCATCTTAATGAATTAAATTTCCAAGTGCTGGCTGAGTAATCCTATTACCGCTGAAAAGAGCTTCCTTCCTAGAGTTTACTTTAGAGCAGAGGCAACTTTCACGCTCGCCGGCAGTCGTCCTGCTGGCCGGGGCTGTGCGCCGTCACCTTGGGGTGCTGGTGGGGGCTCAGGTGTGTGCCAGGGACAAGGGCTCAGAGCTTTGGCCCCATGATTTTGGAAAACCAGTTGGTAGAGAGCTCCTTTTTCTTTGTGGGCCACCAAACAGGGCCGAGCAGTGAGAAACCCAACATTTCGTGGGTGCTTCGCCAGGAGGTGCTGAGCTTTTGGGTAGCAGGAGGATCAAAAACTGCATTATTTTGGCCAGCTCATCAGTGCATCAGTCAACATCTGCCATGTCGAGGTGTGGGCATGTGCCTGTTCTGGATCTCACACAGCTTTTTTTTTTTTTTCTTTTTTTTTTTTTTAACAGAGTCAAGCTATTTTTCATGCAAGAAATGTTTTCCTTACATTTAAATTCCCCATTTCATTTAAAACCCCAAAACCCTCAAAACTGTCCCGACAAATAGATGGTGCCCGGGACAGTGACCCTGTCACCCAGCAGCAACCAGCAGCACTTCTGTGTGACCCGAGATGAATGCACCAGCTCCGTTTGTGCATATTTCTTCCATGATTGTCTCAAAAGGAGTGGCTTTGGCATGTGGGGAGGAATCCGGGTGTTCAGAGGTCAGCGCGAGCAGCGACGCGGCGGTGGCGTGTCCCACCCCATAGGGAACGATATGGGTACATAGATTTATAGGGTATGGGCATGTACATAGCTGGATCTGTAGTTATATTTAATGTGTGTGCATGGATGTAGAGATGGCTGAATGTGGTGTATGTATATATACACACCCAGATAAACATTTAATGGATATATGGATAAATATCCATATATGTATACATGGATAAATATATCTATGGGTGTATATATATATGCACAGTGCCTGTGCATGTCTATATACCTGGAATCCCTGAATTTACCCATATATATATATTTATTTATTCATTTATTTATTTACCCATATATATATATTTACCCATATATATATATTTACCCATATATATATATTTACTCATATATATGTATATATTTCCCATATATGTATATGCACAGTGTGCATGTCTGTATACCTAAAATCTCTGCATTTACCCATATTATATATGGGTATATACATATATATGAGTAAATATATATATATATATGGCTGTGTATATATTTATATGGGTAAAAATATATATATATGGGTATATATAAAAATGGGTAAAAAAATAAATGAATAAATAAATATAGCTATATGGGTTAATGGAGAGGTTCCAGGTATCTAGACATGCACAGACACTGAGCAAATAACGTCATGACCAAGGCACTGGTTGGAGCTGACCCCCAGTAGGGCTCGTGGCTGCCAAACCCTTCTTATTCCTGCTCCCCTGCTGCCTCTGCCCTGCTCCGTGCACTGGAGCAGCCCATAAAGTGCACCAAGTATGCATGCTTTGAAGCATTTCTCTTATTTCCCCCGGCGCAGCAGCCGGGCAGTGCCTTTTACACCCCCTGCAGCCGGCTCACCCGGCGGCACCGCGTGGCCCCGGGTTCCTCCGCAGGAATTCTTCATCCCCATGGGGTCACGGCCAAAACCCTGCAGTGCCTGGAGAGCCTCCGGCCGCTCCCTGTGGCTTGCGAGCACCTTATCAGCTCCTGCTGGAGCCCAAAGGTGCTCCAGTCCCACGGCTGCCTCTCGAGCCGTCTGTTCCATGGGTGGTGTCTGCATTTCTGTTTTTTTTTTTCAATGAGGTGTGTATTGCACGTTAAGCTGAAAAAAAATCAAAAAACCACACAAAATCTGACTCTCATCTGTCTTCTTGCATCTGTATGAGAGCATTCTTCTCCTTGGAAAGCCTGAAAGTTGTTCTCCGCGGTGGATTACCAAGCACAAAAGCCACTTTGGGGAGTGGAAGTGCTCGGGTTGTGAGTTGGTTGCAGTCCTTGCACCGTATCTTAAGTATATAACATTTAATAATAATATATACTTTCTTAGTATAACATATATATATAGCATTTATTATATATACATTTATTGTATATACACACAGCTAGATATGTTTTATATGTGTGTGGAGATACAACATCCATGTACATGCAGATATCTCTGTGTGCATAGATGATATAAATGCGCCCCTGTCTGGTTTACGTGCATAATATATCAAAATAATGCATAATATATCAAAATATTGATCATAATACTGATTTATTTTATATCAGTGTGGATATTCGTACCTACACATATGGATACAGGCAGGAGTCGTGCTCAGAGGACTTGAATTTGCTGCTCTACGGGTCGTTGCTTATAACTAAAAAATAATTAAATAATAATTTAAAATAATTAAATAATAATTAAAATAATTAAGTAACACTTAAAAATACTTAAAAATACTTAAAAATAATTTAAAAATGAACAGGAGGCTCTGTTTTCCCTGCCCACCTACTCTTTTTAATAATTCCCAACCCAAATCTCAGCCCTGCGGGGCTTGGCCAACTGTAGGGAGGGGAGGAGGAGGCACCTCCGTGCCGAAGGTCCTGCCCGGGCTCCTGGCTTACAGGAGGAGGGCTCCCTCCTCAATGGGGGATATCCCAAAATACCGAGGCGAAGGCGGTGTTTATGTAACACCGGGGTCTTGTATACTACTGCGAGTAAGTCATAAGCTCGCGGGGAGCCTGCCAAGGAGCGCTCAGGCTGCTGGAGAGCAGGGAGGTCGGCCCAGGTGATCTTTAAAAGGCTCTTCCAACCCAAATCGTGCTATGAAGTAAGGTGTTGGTAAACCTCCTGGTATCCCACCCGCCCAGGATCCTTCGTTATTTCGCATTACACCAAAATTTGGCTTCATTGGGAAGTGTTTAATTGGTGATTGTGCGTGCGTGCATCCGGCTGTGCAACAGCGACTGCAGAATTAAAAAGTCCTTCTCGTGCACCTCGGTGATGAAAGGTTATTTTCTGCTCCACGAATCCTGGCTGTGAAATCGGCAGCAGCTTTGGGATTAAAAATCTGCAAATGCAACCGTGCCGGGCGAGCAGGTGCGGTGCGACCGCGGCAAGGCGCCGGCGTGAATTTAGCACTTGGGATATTGAAGGTTAAAAGCAGGTTTTGGAGCAGCCCTGCCCCTCGTATCGGATGTCTTGGTCCTCGCAGAGGTCTCTGCAGCTGTCTGGGTGATTAGGGATGCTTCTTGGACGTGCAGGATGGTCTGAGCTGGTTTTTGGGGCGAGCAGCACCAGCTCCTCTGTGCGTAACAGCCCCCGGGGGCACTCACCAACCTCAGGGCACAGCCAGCATCTCACTGTTAATTTGTTAATTGCTCTCAGCCCAGAGGAGGATGCTGTGCATGCTCACGCCGTGGCCTGAGAGGTTAACCTGCAGCCTAAACCCAAATCCCATCCTTTTAGGCACAAGTTAGAGATTCAAAACACGTTTCTTTTTCCTCCCCCAGGCTTCCCGTGCCAACCTGCTCAGCTTCCAGTAGGGCAGGAGTTGGACTTGGTTACCAAAGTCCATTGTAATGATTTCTCGGATTTTTCTGAGAGTAGCCAAAGCTTGTGCAAGTTTGCATGCTTTTCTATATTTGGTTTTGTTTAATTTGATTCTACAAAGCTGTTGAAAAGTCTCGCCAAACAGTTCGACTTTCTGGCTGCGTGACCGTGCCATCTCACCAGAATTTACGCGGAAAAAGCTTCTGCTTCAGGTCCCACGCGGGTTTTCCTCAGTGATCCCGCAGTCGAGATCCCATTGTGGCTTATTTTCTGCTGCGTGAGTCCTGGATATGAAATTAGCGGCGTAAAATAAAAAAGGGGAATAAAAATGGGAATAAAAATCTGCAAATAAAACAAATCCTCTGCGCTTAGTGTGCCCATAACTTGTCCTGGCGAAACGCATCTGCCCCCTTCTTGTCCTCCTCCTGCCCCGGCGGGTGCTGATGTGACATCTGCCACTGTGCCATGGCATGGGGGAAAATGTCCTTTTTGGGGTGGCCGGCTCCAAAATCCCACTGCTGCCTGCTGGCGAGGCAGTAGGTGTTCGTGTTTCTCCCCATCAGCACCGCAATGTTGGTGCCTGGGCAGTTTTCGGAGATGCACTGCGGGATTGGCAAGGAGAGAGCATGGCACAGGCTGGGTGTTAGTGGGAGAGGGGAAAATATCACAGAGTGGCTGGGAAAATCCCTCCTGGGGATAGTGCTGGGTTGTTAGGGAGCCCTTTGGTGTCCCAGCCATCGGGCTTGGTGATCCATGGATTTATTGTGTGTTTTTCACACAGGGATCACCAAAACGACTCAGACCCCTCGGTCTGATGGCGTTTCGGTGCGTCTCGGTTGACGCCTCCGAATTTCTGCCTTGATATCTTTTGAGGGTTTGTTCTGGTCCTGTTTTTAACTGGTGTAACGGGGTCTTTGTTGCAGATGTCAAGAAGGACTGGTCGGACCACGCGCTGTGGTGGGAGAAGAAGAAGACGTGGCTCCTGAAAACTCACTGGACGCTGGACAAGTACGGGATCCAGGCTGACGCCAAGCTGCAGTTCACGCCGCAGCACAAGCTGCTCCGCCTGCAGCTGCCCAACATGAAGTACGTGAAGGTGAAGGTCAACTTCTCGGACAGGGTCTTCAAGGCGGTTTCCGACATCTGCAAAACCTTCAGTAAGTATCAGACTTTTGGGTTCGGCTTCCCCTGCTCTGTGTTTAAGCCGGTGGTGTTGGGTCCTCGTTTTTTTATTTTATTTTTTTTTTTTCTGCAAATTTACGCGCTATATGGCAAACAAAGCCTGCAATGGGACGTCTTCCAGATGCGTGGTTCTTTTCCAGAGGAAAATCGTATTAGAGGTTCAGTGATGATGCTCCTGCTATAAAACTGTCTGGTGGAGGGAAGGGAGCGATTCTTCCTCCTTCCTCCCCAACTCCTCCTTCCTCTGCTTCCCTTGGTAAATCTCCCTCCAAAATACACGGTGCTTGTCCAAGGCTTACTACCTCCAAGCATCTCCTTTTACCCATTTCCCCAGGTTTCCCCCCCCAAAACCTGGGCATGACCTTTTCGCTTCTCCCAAACGCGAGGGGCAGCCTCCCCTCCTAAAGGATGCGCTGCGAGCCGAGCCCTGGCGTAGTAAAATCTATTTCTGCTCTCCCCAAACGCCTCTGGTTACTCTTGGCTGACCCAATTATTTCACGGAGCAGGAAGGGGCCGGCTGGGAGCGGGCTGTTAGGACGTGGCCCCCGTGCCTAAGCCGATATATATATAGCCGGTGATGGAGCCTGATAGGGCTCCTCTCCGCTCTTTCTTTCCTGTTTTGTTTTTGGGCTTTTCCTTTGGATAAATATTGGGAAGATTCTGCTTAAAAATAGAAAAGCCTTAGCCAGCGTGATGGCCGAGCGGCTTCAGCGTCCTCCCACGTCTCCCGGTGCCGTTTTCAGTACCTTGAAGGCAGAGGGGTCACAAGCGGCGGCTTTGCTGCTGCCCAATCTCCCCAGCAGTGTGAGTCACGTCAGGAAATTCTGGTAGAGTTAATCACGTAACGGGAGAGCTCGCAGAGCAGGCAGAACCTTAAATGGGCCTGCAGCGGCGATTTATTTAACTCCAGGGCTCTCCGCGTATTTATGAGCAAACCGAGAGGATAATGCTAATATTTAAAGATGTGCAAGGGGAGGGGGGAAAGCTGCTCAGAGGGCTGCAGCTGAGCTCTTTGCAGCAGGCTTTGCAGCACATCGCAGGCATTTTTGGCTTTCCCTTTGGGGCACCCAAAGCTCTGGGCTAAAAGTGCCCTTTTGGGGGGGAGGAACGAAAGCAGGATTTGGCTGCAAGCCCCGTTCTTCTTTCCATGCCTTACCCCAGCCCGAGCCCTTTGCCGATGGATGGATGGATGGATGGAAACTGCGAGGCTGAGTGCAGCGATTAAATCTTGTTTAGCCCTTCTCGTGGTGTTTACTGGAAGCCAGATGTTCGGCAGGGCTGCGGGGAAGGCGGCCGCGGTCGGCGTGGGGAAAGAGGGGGCTGGGGCTGGAGGCTCTTCCCTGCTCCACGGAGATTTGGGATGCCTCTATATCCATATATAATACAGTTTCATAGGATAGATAGCTCAAATATAGAATTTTTAACATAAATCAGATATAAATATCTGAGATAGATATGGATGTATATATATATAGGAACCAAAACCCTGCCCGTTTCCCTTTTTCTCCTCTCGGGGTCTTGCAGACCCTGATATAAAGAGGTAATCCCTGCCCTAAGAGCACAACTCCTTCCTCTAAAAACCCCTTGATTTCTAAAATTACAGTCCGTTGTGGCCTGAGCCAGTGTCCAGCAGAGAGAATTGTGTTTGGGAACTGCTCGCGTTTCAGCTCTGTTTGCTGCCGTTGCCCCCGGAGCATTTAATTACATACTTCAGTAATTTTAACATATGGCATGATTAAGGAGTAATTGTAAGTAATTCCTCGTGTCACCAGGACTCTAGCTGGTTGCAGCTATAAAACACCCTACAGACAAGCAAGGATCACATTTGGGCATATTATTTAGGTTGTGCCTTTTTTTATATTCACTTTAAATTACAGAATGTGACAAACTTTAGGGTTAACAACCAAAAAAGCTTGGCAATTCCTGGAAGAAGATTCCCCGTGCAACCCTGTTCGTTGTGCATGTGTTTTCCAGCCCGTGGGCAGCTGTTTTTTTGGGATCCCGAGGGCTGTAGAGATGTCTGAGCTCTGTGGGGAGAAGACCTGGGCTGGAGGATGCTGCAGCCAGGGCGCATCCTCTGGTTGGAGCAGGGTGGCTTGAGAAATGGTATTTTTTCTGCAGAGATGTGGTATTTGCAGTGCTGCAGCCCTACGTGAAGGTTTTGCAACAGCTTTTGTTCTGCAATTTGTGTAAAATGAAGGAGGGATGGGGAAGCTTTTGTTTCTTAAAGCTGCCCAGTGCTTCTGTCTGGTGCGCAAGGCTCTTCGGGCTTGGAAGTGGCTTTTGGCCAAGTGGTGCCTGAGACTTCATATTTCTGTCAGGGGCTGAATTTCCTGCAAAAGGCGGACGGGGAATTCAGGTTAGAGCGATAGCAGATGAGGAATGCTGTCGGAGCCCTGTGGAGGGAAATTGCGAGTCAGAGCATCCTCTGATGGGACCGCATTACCAAACCTGCTTCTTTTCGGACCTGGCGGCGAGGTTGCTGCCTTTCTGCATCCCTCTTAATTAAAACGAGGGCATTATTGCAACCCAGCCGTGACAGGTTTCCATCCCTGGCAGGGCTGCAGCTCAAGCTGTCGTCTCCTTGAGCACAGCAGGCATGTCATGTCACCCTTGGGATTTCTTCCTAAAGTCTGTAATCTCGTGCAGATGGAAATTATTGTGGAGAGCAGCCGGGGCTCTCCTGGGGCAGCCCGGAGGTGGATGTGGGAAGATGCTGGAGCCTCTCGCACATCCCCCCCCCCCGGTGCTCGTGGAGGTCGTGTGAAGCCGGAAAACTCTCCCCCATTCCCAGTGGCTGGGCTGCAGCCCCTCGATTCCCACAGCAGCCGATGGGGAGGGTCAGGGGGTGACGGAGGATGGAAGCAGGAGAAGCAGAGCGGGGAGGAGGATGGAGCGGGCAGCCCTGGCCCAAAGGCTGGCCCTGGCTGCCTGCCCGGGCAGCGGGAGGACAAGCTTTGATCTGCTATTAAAGACCACAGAAAGAGAAAGTAAAACTTCCCTTTTTTTTTTGTTCGGGGACGAGCAGGGTGCCGCGGGCTGGGGACGTGGTGCCGCTTACGGGTGTCCCACATGTCCCCCTCCCGTTTGTCCTGCCCTGGAGGCTTTCCTGCCCTGCAGACAGCACATCAAATCTAGAAATGCGACTTGACGTGGCTGCAGTTCAGCACTCAACTGGTGTGGGTGGGAATATCTCCACCGGAGAGGTCTGGGGAGGTGGGGGATGCGGCTGAACGCACAGAGCTGGCGGTGCCCGCACGTGTCGCTGCTCATCCCGAACTACAGGCAGAGAAATCCTCCCCTCCTCCCCAGCTTCGTGTGATTGCAGGGCAGAGGATGCTTTGCGTCTGCTCCTGCCATCGTGCTGCTTCCTTGCAGGCTCCCCTTGCTGCTGCTGCTGCTCCCTGTAGGTTTTTTTTTTTTTCCATGTATCCTGGGAGCAGCGATGGACTCCAGGCAGGATGCGCTGCTGCTGGCAGGGCACGTGGGAGAGGAAAAGCAAACAGAGCCCGAAGTGTGAAGATTTTTTTTTTTTTCCCATGCTTTTGCGTTTCCTGCCCCAGCAGTGCTGCTTCTCTCAGGGAAGTAGCGAGTGTCCTGGGAGCCTCAGGATGAGGGAAAGTTGCTGCGTGCCGAGATGGTGGCGGCTGGCGCTGGTGGGAGCACCAGGAGGAGGACGGGTGCCCGAGCCAGGAGGATGCTGCCCTGGGAGGAAGAGCTGCTCTGTATGGATCTCCCAAACACGTTACTGCTCCTTCCCTTGTCCCCTCTGAGGCTGTGCAGGACCCAAGGAAGTTCCTCCAGGTCGTCTTTCCCTGCTGAGGCATCTCCCCCAGCTCCTCCAGCCTCATCCTCAGGGATCTTCGTGGGAATTAATCGCCTGGTTTGGAAACAAAATTCATGGATGGAGCACCTGTGTTAAGCAGCAGCACTTCCCCTGCCTGCACCCATTCGGGGTCTGATCCTCAGGGACACCAAGAATTCGGGAGCCCTCTTGCTCCGGGAAGGCTCACCCAGTCCTGGAGAGCTCATGGGACCGAGGATGGGGCCGGGGAGTCCCCGTTGCCTCCCTTTGCCTCTCCCTGCCCCAAAATAGCAGAAGAACACGACTGATGGGAAGACGACAGCCGATCCTCCTCGCTTCTCCTCCAGCAACCCGAGACGAGGTGGCGGTGGCATTTGGGAGCTGTGTGATGCAAGCCCGAGCGAGGCGACACCGTCCGGCAGTCTAGACGCTGAATCTGACCCTACCTTTTTTTTTTTTTTTTTTTTTCTTCCCCCTCTCTTTATAAATGGTCTCTCCTCCAGTACAGAATGTCCTCTGCCTTCCGAAGTATTTGTAATATTTCCACGCCCTCCGTCGCCAAAAAAACTTCTATAAAAAGCTGCTATTTTTGCAAAACTGCAACCCCGCTGGCACTCCGAGATGCATAGCTTCCCAGGGCTTCGCCCGGCTTCGTTAGCACGCCGGCATGGCTGGGGGCAGCTGGAGTTAAATGCAGAAAGGCCTTGGAGCAGAGCACGGGACATGGGGACAGTCACTCCTCACCCTTGTAAAATTGCTCCCCGTTGCAAATTGATGAGGGTGCAGCCCCATGGCAGGATGTGTCCTGCTGCCACCCACTCTGCCTCTCACCATTTGCACCCCGAAATCTTCCTTCAGGTTCCTCTTTGCTGGAAGATCGCCTTCGATCTCCTCTTTAAACCTTTTTATCTCCCCTCACGCCCCGCTGGAGAACAAAGCAGTGCTTCTCCTAAAACATTGGGGCTGAAGTGGGGTCCTGGTAAATGCAGGGGAGTGTTTGGGGGTGGCACCAGCTCTGTCCTGGGGCGGTGTGGGGATGCTCAGCAGCACCACGAGGATGCTTGGAGGCACCGTGCACGTCCCAGCGCAGAGACAGAGCCGGCCAAGCAGCGGGGCAGGGTTTGCTGCCTCCTGCTACCACGAGCAGAGGTTTGGCAGTAGTGCAGCTATTTCTAAATATGTCTAGGGGATGGGTGTGGAAGGAAATCTTACCATTTAGAGAGTCTGCCAAATTGCAATGTACTCAGCTTTTTAAATTGGGAGGCCCCGAGTGTGCCGCTGCCAACTTCTTCATTTCGCTCTTTTCCTCTTTTATTGCTTTCCTATACTCATCCGCAGCTGTGCTGGGGGATCCAGACGAACACCAGAAACCGGGCTGCGAGAGAAGCAACGCGATGGAATCGCAAAGTGACCGAAATGGAAAAAAATACTCCCCCTTTCCTCCCCTCCCCTCCCGCCGCCGTCCCCGTTCTGCCTGTCGAGTAACATCACTTCGTATGTCACTGCGTGAGTCAGTGAATTTTTTCATCCTTACTCTTCTGTTGACAGAGACCCTTTAAATAGCCTTCCATCCTGAAGACATTAGGAGGTGCTGGCAGACCCGGTCCCGCCACCTTCCCCAGGATTATTCTCCCTCTGATGGCTCTTTATGGCCCGATGCAGAGGCTCTAAGTGGATTTATTCTCTTGTTCGTGGCACTTAATCTAATGAGGTTAATTGGACTTCAGCTGCAGTTCAGAAACTTCAGGGAAAGGCTCGACGTGCCGTCTGGGCTCTAAAAGGCATCTGGTGAACTGGAGCCTGGGGATTCCGTCCCACTCGTGGAAAAAAACATCAAAACATTCAGCGTTTGGCTCCTCCTGTCTGTCCGACGGCCCTTTTTATTAGCCTCGTGCTAACAGTTGGCTCCGTCGCCGCTCTCTGCCTCCTCCTCCTCATCCTCTTTGCGGGTCCCCCCGACCGATGCCACCCGATTTCGGCTCCGGGTACCGCTCACACAGCACCTGCAAGAAGTGCCCTCACCGCTGCAAACCCATCTGACAGCTTCAGAGACCATTTTTGGGTGGCTTTCCAGATTTCCAGCGAGTTGCTAATCCAGTGGGCGCTTGGGTTTTCCGCAGGGAATTTGGGAAGGCAAAGCCCAGGTTTGGACAGTGCCCGGGACACTTGTCGGGATCTCAGGAGGCTTCGCAGGGTGTCCTGACAGAGCCGCCTGCCTGGGGCAGCAGGCGCCAAACTTGGCTTTTACCCAAATAAATATTTAAGCAGCCGGGCAGCTGAAGAACCCATAATAAAATGTTCTGAATGCGCGTGGGTATACAAACCCAGCAAACTGCTGAGGACCTGCTCCGCCGTCAGCTGAACTCCGGTACAACTGGGCTCTTATCTCCAGGCGTTCCCGAAGCTATGTGCTTTGATTTTTTTTTTTTTGCCTGAGGTTTGTTTTGCAGACTTTATCTTGAATGAGTTTATGTTAAAGATAAGGCAGCGATACCTTAGGTCTGTCGGCTTACGCCTCGAAACAGAATTTGCTGATTCAAAAAAAATAAATAAATCGTAGTCTTAGGTTTGAAATGGGAAAGGAACGGGTTTTGAGGTCTCGATTTTCTAAGAATCATCATGTTGAAGTGCAAAGGCTGTAATTTTTATGAGTCACTGGTTCAAGACACTGGTGATCCAGTGCAGACATAACCCACTTCAAAACACATTTCCTAGCTGAGGGTAACTGGATGAGCATTAAAGAGAGGATTTCCCCTAAATGTTGTCTGTGCTACCAGGAAAATTACGGAGCTTTCAATGCTTCAAGAGCTAGGCTAACCAGCTCGCTGGCCTTTTAAGGCAGCCAGAAATGGGGTAGAAAAACGAATGGCAACTTCTTCAGAGAGTTATTTTTCGTAAAATGTCAAAATTGGATATTGAAAGTAGTGTGCTTTCCCATGATTTTAAATCTTGGAGAAGTCAATACGTCCTCAGACACCACTTCCAGTGGATGATGCCATGTTGTGGATGTGGTCGGGGCAAGAAAACCACAGATCTGGTCTCTCATCGTGGCAAGAACACATCCCTTAGAGCTCTCATATCATCACTTGGTGTCCCCCGGCCCCTCGGGGTGCTGCTTCGCCGCCTGTGGGACAATCAGGGTGCTTTGAACCTTCAGTGGGGACAAAGCAGCAAAATCCCCCCTTCTTTCATGCCCAAACCCATGGGGTTTGATTCTGCCTCTGCATTCCCAACTGCTTTCCCATGGCTGGGGCCAGGGCCAGCCGCGACGCACCTCGGTGTTAAAGATGCAGCCCAAAAGAGCGTAAATTTTGAATTTTACAGCCTGCAGGGCAGCTATTGCTCTTCAAAGCCAGTTTTCTGGGCGCAGTCAGTGCAGCGTCCTGTGGAGAAGGAGGATTTCATCCCAGCTCTGCTGCTCGTCTCCGGGTGGGAGATAAATGGGTACAGCTGGGCCGGGTGAGCTGTGCATGGGCTGGAACAGAAATGAGGGATTACACGGGAAGGAAAGGCCAAGGGTTTGTCTGCAGCGAGACACAGCACAGGCACAGACAGGCTCTTGCAGGCGAACGGGAAAGGAGATGCTGCAGGGAGCAGAATGCCTTTGTCCAACAGTTGGGGAAATTTATCCTGGAGGCTGAAAGCTGCCATCCCCGTCACGTTTCTGAGATGCCTGCTGTGAAAATCACGTGCGTGTGCTCCCCTCGCCCCAGGGCATTTCCCTCGCTTGGTAAAACCCAATGGATTCGACAAGACCCTTCTGCTGGGGGCTGAAGAAGTGGCTCCCACTCAGATCTGGCTGAGAAGAGGTTTCTGAAGCAGGTTTTGGTGGCACTGCCCCTCCATACAAACATCCTGGTGGACGCCACCAGCCGTGCCGGGGCTCGCGGCAGGAGGAGGAATAGCTGGGTTTCCACGCGCTTGCACAATAAATAGAAAGAAAATGCTAAATGGATCATTTACAGTAATTCCTCGTAGATGTTGCCAATGCCATCTGTCTTGTGTGTACAGACAAGGAGTCTCTCTTTAAACAAACACAGGCCCGGAGGATGACAACAAAAGCATAAATTGAAGAGCGAGCTCGCAGCGCATCAGGAGGTCGCTGCTGCAGCCCACCCGCTTCTGCTCGGAGGTGACCTTTGGCAGGAGCAGCCTGGTGTCAGCCGAAAAATGGGGAGGAGATGTTAACAGAGACCTTCACATGTGGATTTGGGGCTGGAACTGAACCTGGGAAGATGTTTTACCCCAGAGGACAGCTCCAGTGCAACGGCCTATCCTCCAGGCACAGTGTGATTTACCAAACGGCACAAACCTGTACCAAGGACTTGAGATTTCTCACTGCTTTTGTACTTTAAAGACGTCTCTCTTGCTTTTATGGCCAGAAGAGAGGGGCTGGGGCTCTGAGCAGCTCCTCGTCCCAGTTTCCAATTAACTGGAGCACTACCATCTGCAAGCCCTTACACCCCGGACAGCCTCTGCTTTAGCTACAGTAACTAAACAGCATGTTTGCCAAAGCTCGTCTCTATTCAAAACACGCTTGAAGAGCCTTTGTAAACTTATTAATCATACGCAGTGTCAGGCATTTTTTTTCACCAGTAGTTTACTGAAAGATTGAAAAGCGCAGCCAGAAAATGTGCAAAGCTGCTTTTCACTTTTTCTCTAATTTGGGGGTAGGAACTGCAGACACGCACGCAGTGGTGCTCGCTTGCTGCTTGTCTACTTGTAGCACGGCAGGCTTCATTTTTATTCCCCCTGCAACCCGAATTTCTGCAGTTGGCTTCAGTGGGGTTCTGAAGCCTCTGAAAGGCAGCTCTTGGGGTGAAATCTGTGGTTTTTCACTTGAAAAAGTGCTCAGCCATGGAGGAGCAGCAGTGCTCTTGCATGGCACGGATGCTGCGGTGCCGTGCCCCGCGGCGATGCACGGCTTTGAAGCAGCTGCCGAAAACTTACAGCATCCTTTGTAATCCGAAGATAGCGTCATGAACAACTGAGGAACTATAAAAAGTCGCTTTGAAATCAGATGGTCAAGCGTTGGGCCGTCTCCAGCAGATTGCTTTCAGGAGCCGAGCTTGGCCTGGAGTCCTTCTCTTGGCCTCTCTGAATGGTTTCAGCTGAGCGGCAGCATCAGTTGCTAATGCACCATAAATAAACAGCAGAGTATAAACCTTGCTAGCAAAATACCAGGGGAACTCCTCATTTTAGGCTCTGCTGCGTGTTGTCCCATGCTCATGATCCTGGTTATCCCAGCAGATTTTTTCTTAATGAGATAAGCTGGAGGCAAGAGGAATGAATCAGAAGAGCTGTCTGGATTTGCGCTCCGGGTATTTATTGCTAGAAATGGTCAAAAAGTAGTGTTGAGCGGAGGTGAAATTAGCTGTTAGTGGGTGCAGGGAGCGAGCTCAGCATGATGGTCAGTTTTTGTGTAGTAATAGGAAATCAATGTGCACTTTAATTAATAAAAGCTGTGCCAGAGGGTGGTTTGGGGTGGGAGACCCGCAGTACGGGAGATGGGTAAATCCAGAGGTGCTGGATTAGGAGACACCAGGACAGAGGCATCTGTCCTTGCATGTCACCTAAAATCACATCCCCCCGATGTGGCAGGCACAGCAAGGTTGCAGAAGCAGAGGTGGTTGTGCAAATAGCACCGCAGGCTGGGCATTGTGGGGCCCTTTGTGGGATGGGATAGCCCGTGCTGTGGCCCCATGGAGCTCACGGTGTCTGCAAGCAGGGAAACAAAGTCCAGGGACGGGACACAGCCTGCCAGGGAAGCCGTGCTGTAATAAATTAAAAAAAAATAAAGTAATTTTTGGAATGTGCTGTTTATAATGGCAGCTGTACCCTGGCAAATGTGGAAACTGTGCATCGTGTCCAGCTGTGTGATTTAGCGGCGCTGAACCTACGTAGGCTGCTGGGTCCTGCTCCATCCCGAGTGCTCCAGCTGGGGATGCTCCAGGGATGTGCCCTGTGCCTGAGCACCCAACGGGAGCAGTGGGCTCGGAGAGAAACAGGCTGGGGGTTGCTTACAAGGAAAGCCAGATGTGTCTGTCCGCCTGGGGATGGTGGGAATCGTGTCTGATAGAGGCAGATCTGGTTTCTTGGCTCATGGTGTGTCACTGGTTTGGGGCAGAGCCGGCTCGCAGCCTGGTGTTCTCATCTGTCGTTTCTCACAGGGAAAAAGGCTGGGGTAGGAAACATCTGCTGCATCACAGAGCAGCACAGATGTGTCCCCTGCAGGTCACGTCCTGGCCACTAAATTCCGGGTTTAATGGTATTCCTGTGGCTGGGAGCAGACAGCAAACTCCCACTGCTGCCGGCGTGGTCACCGCATGTGTTGGGGTAAAATGCTGACTGTGTAACCCCTCCTGGTTTGGGTGATTACCGGTTGTCCTGCTCGGCACCCCTCCTGGTGGGGAAATACAGCCTGCTCCGACTCTCTGCATCCTCTCCTGCCTGGTGGATGAGCCCTTGCGTCCTCCTGGCCATGCCAAATGAAAACACCAAGTTTCTCCCCAGGCAATCCGATAGGTATCGTAACGTGTACAGCTGCAAGCTTCAGCGTGCAGCTGAGGTGGGAATTGTGGCCGCTTTCCTTAAAGCGTCAAGGATTCACAGCTTCACACGTTTCTGTGCATTTTGGGGGAAAACAGCTGGAGACCACCAAGGGGCTTGAGCAGGGACAGCCAGCTGCAGGGGCAGCTCCAAAGCTCTTCCGTACAGACTCAGGTGTGACCAGAATTTGGTCTCCGCTTTCCCAGAAAGCTCCTTCCCAGTTGGAAGTGGATGCATGAGGTGTGACACCCCAAAATACCTTTGTCTGGATGGGATCACCCCAAGCCCCCAGAACAGCAAGAGCCCAGTGATGGAAACCAAATGCGTGGCTCTTTAATTGTCCAAGCTGCAGTTTACGTGATGAGCATTGATTCCTGGGGAGGATTTTGTTACCCAGTCACCCAAATCTTGTAATCCCTTTTTCCTACATATTTTTATGTGTTTCTCATTTTCATTAGTCATGCAGATTGTGTGCTTTGTAGAAGCAAACCATGCTGCTCCCATGGCTTGAAGCACTGATGCACTCCGATGCTCTTCATTTTCAGTTACGTGGTTTTAGGATTATTCCGTCTGGTTTGGGGCAGGGAACTGGGAGAGGCTGGAGTCCCCCTGGCAGGGACCCCTGCCCCTAGCCCCATCCATCCTGGCCTGGGGCACCCCCAGGGATGGGGCAGCCACAGCTCCTCGGGGCAGCCTGCACCAGGGCCTCACCGCCCTCTGAGGGAAGGATTTCTTCCTCATATTGAATCTAAATCTACCCTTTTTTGGTTTAAAACCGTCACTATCATTACATGCCCTTGTAAAAAGTACCCCCCTAGCTGTCCTGCACCCCCTTTAGGCCCTGTGAGGTCTCCCCGGAGCCTCCCCTTCTCCAGGCCGAACACCCCCAGCTCCCTCAGCCTGTCCCCACAGCAGAGGGGCTGCAGCCTCTGAGCATCCTCGGGGCTTCTCAACACCCTCAGGTCCTTTTCCCAAGGGCTGCTCTTAATCCATTCCTTGCCACCCCTGTGTTTGTGCTTGGGATTGCCTCGGCCCAGCTGCAGGACCTTGCACTTGGCCTTGTTGAACCCCATGAGGTTCTCACAGGCCCACCCCTCAGGCCTGCCCAGGTCCCTCTGGATGGCAGCCCTTCCCTCCAGCACCACACTGCTTGGTGTTATCATCAAACATGCTGAGGGTGCACTCGATCCTACTGCCCATAGCATTAATAAAGACATAAAACAGCACTTGTCCCCATACAGACCCATGAGGGACACCGTTTGTCACTGGGCTCCACCTGGCCATAGAGCTGTTTACTGCGACCCTCTGGATGGAGCCATCCAGCTAATTAGTCCACCAAATAGTCCACCCATCAAATCCACATCTCTCCAATTTAGAGACAGGGACATTGTGTGAGAAAGATAAAGATGTTGTGTGTGGCATTTCCAGTCTGGTAACTAAATAAATGGCTTGACTCTTGGGTTGCTGCTATGGATGGGAGAGAACCTGGCCTGTCACCTAGGTGCCTAAATAGAGGGGTTAAATATGTATAAAGAAAGATATAAAAATAGATAGTTAAGATATAAGCTGCTGGTGCAAGGAAGGTGGTTTGTCTTGTACAGACTGGCTCTCAATTTCATTTCTATCCATTGCAAAGCAGGAAAATCAACCAAGATACTGCAAGTCACTGGGTGTTATTCCTAAAGGAAAGATTTTCTTTTTTTTTCCCCCACATTTTTCCATCCTGCCTTTGTTAAAGCGGTCTGTTTTTTTCCCCAGACATCAGGCATCCAGAAGAGCTCTCCCTTTTGAGGAAACCCAGAGATCCATCAAAGAAAAAAAAGAAGAAGCTGGACGATCAATATGAAGATGAAGCCTTTGAGCTGGAGGGCCCGCTAATCACGCCGGGGTCGGGTGAGTCAGGGTTTGCTTTGTGGTGATGCGCTTCTGGGGAGCAGAGTGGGAGGAAGCAGCCAGGTAATAAAATGGGAATGCATGCAGGGAAAAAATATATGGCAGTATTGATCTGACCAAATTCCTTAAGGGCTGTGCAAGAAATGGACCCCGAATTATTTCCATAAGTTATCCAGGGCTGCTGCACGCGGTCGTGATGGTGCAGATGAACGCCTGGGGCTGTGAGGTGTGCAGGGGAGCAGAACAACGCCAGGCTTTATAAAATAAAAAAGAAACACGTAAAATAAAAAAAGAAAGTGTGACCACTTCAGCATGCAGATTGTGTTACTGAAATGTTTTCTTACCCTATTAAGAAAGAAGTTAAATGGAAAACCATTCCTAACTTCAAACTCCAGGTGCGTTGTAGGCAACACCGCTGCTTCAAACCTTATTTATGGCCCACCAGAAATGGTCTTTTTATTAATTGCATTAGTGCTCCCTAATGCTAAGGGCGTGGCTGTAGGTGGTAATGCTAAAAGAAAGCTCTCATTGTCGGGGGTTTCTTGCTGCTGCGGGAGTTTGCCAGTGTGGCTCACAGAGCACCGCTAACGAAGCAGCACCGCTAACGGAGCAGCACCGCTTGCCGCAAGCAGCAAATCGATGCCGGGAGTGTTTGCAAGCAGAGAGGTGTTCTGGCTCTGCTCCGCAGCGGCTGGAGGCTGGGGCTGGAAGGATGGAGGCAGTCAAGTGGGAGCACTTTAACCCTAATGGACTCGCGGAGACAGCCGCAGTGATGCGTGCTGGCGGGCGGGCGAGACGCGTCTGGCTGCCAGCGCTCCTGGATTTAAATCCAGCGACAAGAGGGAAGCAGGGCAGCGTTAATGTTAAAAAGCAAACAACCTTGGGATTCAGTAAATTTGTATAATTGCTCTTGAATTAACCGAAGTGCAAGCGAAGGTGACAGCAGCGTGCTCGGTGGTGCTCTGCGGGCACGATGCTCACCCCTGCATGCTTGTGGGCAGCTTCACACGGGGCACGGGCACTGGGGGGGGTTGGCATCTCCCCTTTTCGGCAACTGGGCTGGGGGGTGGCCTCGGGTCCACGTCCTTCATGGGATGGAGGAGCCCAGAGCTCCTGCACAAGCTTCCCAGCCACTCAGCACCACCCTGGGCACTTCGGGAGGATGGTCTGCAGAAGCCCCCTGGGAGCTTTGCAGCAAGAGAAAAATACTCCTTTTTTTCCTCTTTTCTCACTCTTTCTCTTCTAAGTGACTTAATAATACTTCTGGACTAGTCCTCTTCCACTTCTGGCTAGAGGAGCTTTCCCTGCATCTTTCAAAGCTCCGGCCAATTTTCATTTTCATTTGGCATTTCCATCAGGAGAGGTAGTCATCAGCCTTTCCGAAAGGCAATGTTCGCAGAGAGCATCTCTGTTAGATTAATAGGAAATACTTGGCTTGCTTTGTGGGAAACGTATGCAAAAGACATTTTTCAATTTAAATTATTTATTACTCTTTCAGTGAGTCACTTTGAACTATCGTACAGTTTTTTCTTTCCTGCACTACGTCTGTGAATGAAAGGACTTTTGCTGCAGCTTTAATTACTGCAGCTACCTGCAACGTTTAGGTCCCATCAGTTAGACGTCATGTTTTTAAGCTGAATAAATTGTTGCTGCTGTTGTTCCAACATCAGTTTGTGCGCTGAATGCTTATGTGAAATGAGTTAACATTTCTGGATCTGCTCGTTTCAGTACACATAGATTTAATGGGCATTTTTTTGTCACTGAGGACCCCACACCTGGCAGTGCAACCAATTTAAACCTCTGTAGGCAGAGCTGTCAATAGACCTACAGTAAGTATTGCCCAACACTTTCCACTGAAATTCTTGTTTTTGCTTGTTTATGAGTTAGCCAAGCTTATAGGTATTTAAGCTGAAACTTTCCATGACATTGCCTGCCACAGGCAAATTTTTTAAGGAAAACTGAAATGTTTCAGTTGTTTCTGAACGATGTCAGTGACCTTCTCAGAAGGTGATGTGGAGAACATCCACGGGGAAGTTTTGCTCCTCTGTGCTCTGGAGCAGAGACTCGAACAGAGGGGAGCAGAGCTTGCACATGCGTGGACGTCCATGTGAACATCTGCCCGTTTTGGGGCAAGAAGTGGGTTTTCCTTTCCTTGCTCCATGTTCAGCCCTGTCCCTTGAGGCTGGCACAATGCAAATGTTGACAGATGGAGGCAAGGAGAAGCTGCTGCCTTCTCCTTGAAAGCATGAAGCTCAAAGGGGGATATTCCCATCCTGCCATGACTCCTGCAGCATTTTTGCTCAGCCCCAGTTTTCGGCTCTGTCCCAGTAGGTTCCCACACTGCTTCCCAGTCCCAAGACTTTTGGTCAGAACATGAATCCCGACCAGGGTGCCAGCAAACCCAGCAGCATCATTAAAAACATCCCAAAGGTTCTCTTGTTCGATGGCACCAGCTTTCACTTACGTTTTCCATCCTATCAGCTAATAACTTAACAGAGGCCAGTTCTGTGTAAAATCCCCTCAAAACGGTGCAAAGTTGGTTCACTGACGTCGATTGTGTTATCTTCCAGATGTCGTATCATGTAGCTCGATTCCAGATCGGATCGGATTGCTGGGCCCAGATGTATCCCCCTAATTCAGTTCAGCCCTAAATATTGCGGGAAAACTCTCGATCGAATCCTGCCGTGTTACAAAGTGCTTGGAATACTTTTTTAATATTCTCTGGAGTTTTTTAATATACTTCAAAACAGCCGGAGATGTGGAAGATATTTCGTCTCGAGGAGACAGATGAAGCTATCTGGAGCTGGGTTTCCAAAATGCAGAACCACACATCTTCCTGATAGGATGGATTCAGACCGGTCTTTTGGCTCATCTTTCTGTAATTTCGTGCACATTCAAGGAGCTAGTGCTCTTCTAAGGTGTATTTTGGGCGCGTCGTTTCACACATCTGAGCATGCTGGAATGGGAAACGTGATTTCAAAAGGACACAATCCTTTCCCAAAGAGCCAAGCATTGGTCCTCCTAAATAGTGGTGTGCAGATTTATTCCCAGCAAATGATGTTGAGCTCATTGCCTGATTTTTCTACGCAGTGGAATCACCGATGTTAGGATACACTTGTTGAATCTCCATTACTTTCAAAATTTGGGTTTTATACTCAGCATAAAAATCAATGCTCCCATGAGACAAGTAGGGCCTCGTTAGCTATCAGCTAATATGGGATATGAGATGCCAAGTTAGGTCAGATTTCTTCTCTTCGTAATTTGTAATTTTAAAAGTGATTTATATTTTTTTCCTGTAAAACTTCACCTAGGATTAATGCATGCCTTGTGACCAGTCCTGCACCAAATAGCACCACTCGCTCAGCACATTAATATCAAATAGGCCATCTCAGCAAGCTTTTCTGTCCACAAAATGCCACGTTTCCGTGCCTGGCCAGTTCTTGTAACATGAGCAAAAGAGCGTGGAGTCACTCGGGTTACTTTGCCTGCCGAGTCAGCTGGCGCTGCTGCAAACGCTCAGAAAAAAAAAGAGTGCTTTTGGTGAAAGTTGTGTGCAAAGAGACGGGCGAGCTTTTGGGCAGCTTTGCAAGCGTTTCACGTGTCGGGGAAAAAAACAGGTTTACAGTTTGTTGGCTACTGAGGGGCAGCAGCGGGAGAGCACGCATCTTGCGGCTGCATCGCTGGAGGAGCCTCCCCGGCAGTAAATCAGGGTGAAAACATGGCAGTTTCGGGTCTGTGTTGAGAAGTGGCAATTGCCAAAAGCACAGAATCACCTCGGTTGGAAACAGACCTTCAAGAGCACCGAGTCCAACCGTTAACCTGACCGATCGCAGCAGTTTGATGCGTTGCTCGCAGGAAGCTCAGAAAATCCACATCTTGAGTGTCCCGCTCGAAACCATTTGGCAAGAAAGGCAATTTTTGCAAACTCACCTGAAACGCCTCCCTGATTTTAAGCGAAATCACTTTAACGAGGGGAGTCTCAGCCAGAGGCCGGCTCTGCACTGGGGTTCGGGTGGTTAAACCTCACGTGTGCTGTTCAGACCTCTTGCAAACATTTGTATTTTCAGCTCCGCTCCTTCCCAGCCCTCCCGGTGACTTTCTCTCGCCTTCTCACTTCCCTCCTTTCTTTCCCTCTCCATAGGCACCGATATTCTTTACATCGGCCCCGTCAAAGGTGAGCTCCACCTCCTTAGGACTTTTGTGCTCTGCCTCTGGTCTCTCTGGCCGTGCCCTTAGTTTATTTTCCTGCTCCTCTAAAACCTTTGACTTCCAAAATCTTTAAGCGCCAGGTAATGCCGGTAAGTGGGGGGCTGCTCATGTCCCAGCTCAGGGGCAGGCGCCAGCTCCCGAGGCTGGCGGCCTGGGAGACCTGAGGGTTTTCCCATGGATTCAGCCTGGAATGGCTTTTCCATCAGCTTTGCTCTTGGAGAAGAGCTGAGAGAGAGAGAGGGAGAGCTTGGGACAGCTTGTCATGGGAAAACAAGCAGCGCAGTGTTTTCCCGCTGCGGAAAAAAATGGTAAAAGCAAAAGGGAAGGTTTCTCATCCGCTGGCTTCGTTTTTGTGTCTGCGCTGGCTTTGTACGGAGCAGGGCTTGGCAGCAAGCTAACTCCCGGCGCTTCTTCCTCTCGCTGGTAGGAAACATATATTCGAGCCCGGGACTGTACAGCAAAACCATGACGCCAACCTACGACGCTCACGACGGCAGCCCCCTGTCACCCACGTCCGCCTGGTTCGGTGACAGCGCCTTGTCGGAGGGGAACCCGGGCATCCTGGCCGTCAGCCAGCCCGTCACCTCCCCAGAGTCCCTCGCAAAAATGTACAAGCCACAGGCGCTCCTCGATAAAGCCAAAATCAACCAAGGGTGAGTTCAGGATTTGTTTTTCTTCTCTCTTCTTTTTTTTTTTTTTTTTTTCCTTAAAAAAAAAAAAAAAGGGCTTCCTTAAAAAAAAAAAAATAGATCCGTGTGGTTTTAAATTGCATTCTTGAAAGCGTCGTCGCGAGTTCGCCGGAGCTCTTCGTGTGTGTTAGCCCTTGTTGACAATTCACAGATGGCTGGATTCGTCCCGATCTCTTATGGAGCAAGAGGTGAAAGAAAACGAAGCTTTGCTGCTCCGGTTCAAGTACTACAGCTTTTTTGACCTGAATCCAAAGGTACAGAGTTATTCATTCCACTTGCACCTTGCAGCCGAACGTTTTGGGCGAAGGATGCCTGTATCTCTGGCATCTATTTCAATACTCAAATGAGCATTGAAAAAGATTAATTGGGTGGTCTTTGCTTGAGCTGGGAGCGTGGGAGGTGGCGGGTGGTGTTTCACAGCCTCACCATTTCTCGCTGTGCGCAGTACGACGCCATCAGGATCAACCAGCTGTACGAGCAGTCCAAGTGGGCCATTCTGCTGGAGGAGATCGAGTGCACGGAGGAGGAGATGATGATGTTCGCGGCGCTGCAGGTAGGAGATGGTCCCAGACCCTCGTGGGTTTGGGTAGTCTGGATTTTGTGGCTCTGCAGACATCTCCCCTGAAGCATCGGTGGGAGGTTGGGCTTCTCGTGCTCGTTTCCCGTCTCCTAATACTCACTTGAGTTTGCTGGGCAATTTAAATATTTTCTGCTTATTTCTTCTCATGAAGAACTTAGTCCCCTCTTACCAAACATGTTTATGTCTGCCTTAACTTTTAGTTTTACCCTTTCTGAAAAACCCCAGTGAGGACACTAGGTTACTGAACTGCGCATTCCTGGCACGCTGCCCCCTGAGCAGCTGGTGATAATCTGTGGGTTTCCCAGAACTATTTATTTATCTGTTTTATGAAATACTTGGTGTTATTTGGCATAAATACTACACCTGCTATTGACTTCTGTGGGATGGATGGCAGGCCATTTACTATGTGTGGTCTGGCGCTCCTTGTTGCAGTAGGATGCAAAAACAGCCCCAACAGGAGCAAGAGCCTGCTCCTAGGGCCCCTCCCAGGAAGAAAATAGTGAGAACAGAAATGTCAACGCTCTGTTTAACTCTCTGAGCAGTCCAGAGGGGGTTGTGCATGGTCCTTAGAGTGAGATTTTGCAGACTTTTTGGTTTTCCGTGGTAAAAACAGCTGCAGTGCAAGAGGATGTCACAAACATGGGCTGTGCCATTAAAGCCAAAGTTTTTTTTGCCATGGCCAGCCCGAGGCTTCCGGGTCGCAGGAGCACCTTTGTTCACGGGGCTGTGCCTTGCCTTTCAGTACCACATCAACAAGCTGTCCATCATGTCGTCGGAAAACCACCTGAACAACAGCGACAAGGAGGTGGATGAGGTGGATGCTGCGCTCTCCGACCTAGAAATTACTTTGGAAGGTGGCAAAACGTCAACGATTCTGGTAAGGGCTGAGGCTGGGGCGTGGTGCCTTACATGTCCCCTTCTCGCCTCTCACCAAGCAGGAATGCTTTTTTTTTCCATGCATCCAACCAGTTTATTTCCTTCCTTTCCTTTTTTCTTCTATTTCTGCTCTTGTTGAAAAAAATTGACCATGGTGGAGCAATGCAGAACACAGAGCCCAGTGATATTTTTCATTAAACCAGTATTTTTTTGAAACACAGCTAGGTGGTTTTGGTGGCAAGGGACTCCAGGCAGTGTCCAGTGTAAGGCCAGCATGGAGCTGGTAAAAGCTCTTTGATCACGGGCACGTGTTGAACCCAAGGCTGCATTTAAGCCTTCTCTTTTTGGGGTGTTTACAGTTAATTTAATTGGCATTGCCACAGGAATCGAGTGCATTAACACTTTTTTCCTACAAAGATTGGAAGACCAAACTGTGTTGGAGAAATTCTGAAGGAGCCAGGATCTTGCTGAGCCCCCTGCACCAAGCCACCTTCCCACTCAAATAATGGAAAACTCAAATAAAATTCATTTGGTTTCTGTTCTCGTGGCTGACTTTCCCAAATACCGAATTCCTCACGCTGAGGTTTCTCTTCCACTGTTCTCTAGTTCATGACAAAGTTTTACAGCATCTGAAACAGCTGCCATGATTTTCAGAAATAGCTTGTGCTTTTGAAACCCTCTTTTTATTAGACTGGATTTTAGCCTGGCGTGGGCTGTGTCTGTATTTCAGAGGGTTCCTTTCTTTCTGAGACATTGTTTTAACACACTGGCTTCCCACCTTTAAAGTTGCAAGGCCCGAAAATTAATTTGCAGAAAAAGGACGAGGTCCAGTCAGGTTTTGTCGGCACAGCCTGGTTTCTCCAGCAATTTTGTACATTTTTGCCATCTTTGAGTTTCATTTAAATTCCGATCCTTTGAAAACCTAAAAATCCTGAAATTTTCCCGTCTTACAGTTCAAGTAATTTTTTACAAAGGGTTTTTTGAAGTTAATGTCCACACCTAGCCTGCAGATATTTGCAACGTTAACTGCTGCTGCTCATTCTCGTGTTCCCCCAGGGAGAGCAGCATCACTTAGATGCAACAGAAATAGGGACCGGCTGTTAGAGCCAAGATATCTTTTATAATTTCCTTGCAAAGCAGATTTGAAGTGCAGCACTGAGGAGCAGTCCCTGCCAAACAGGAGTGAAGAAGACAATGATTCATCAAAAAATATCTGTCCCTTTCTGTACCGGTTGCTAACAGTGGCCATTTCCAGAGGCATTCGAGTAATTGAATACGGATAATGGGCAATTAGTGGATTGTTTGTTTAGATTCTGCATTTTTTTCCCCATGGTATCTATAAACAGCATTGCTCATTGCAGACAGAAAGTAAACTGTCTTGCTGCTGGAAGCTGCTGTAGCACTGTTTGCTTTCTTTGTCATTCGAAAACCCTTCAGCTGGAGCTCGTGGGAATTGAAAATGCCACCCTCTGTATTCTGCTCATCCAAAATACAGAGGTATACCGAGATAAACTCAATATGAAAAAAATGGGGGGCAAAAAAAGCCTTCCTAGACTCTCAGGAAGCCTTTCCACAGTCCTCCAGGGTGGTGCAAAGCAACATCTTTTTGTTTTGTTCAGAGCTAAAGGAAATCTTAAAGGAAGAGGAAAAATCCCTGTGCAAGCACGAGCCAGCGTGCCAGTCAGTGACCTGGCTGGGAACTGGCTCCGCAGGGCACAGACAGCAGGAATCGCTTAAAAAATATAAAAGGTTGTCCTCTGGTTTCCAAAAAGCACTTGTGCAGTAGATTTTCTCTGTGTGCTTCACCCCCTGGGCTCTGCTGGGGCAGGTGACTGAAAGGGATCATTTTTATTTTTCAGGGTGACATCACTTCCATCCCGGAGCTCGCCGACTACATTAAAGTCTTCAAGTAAGTCCTGATGGGAAGAGGTGCTTGGGAGACGTAGGAGCAATGAATAATTAATGGTCCTGACGCCTACTGTGCATTTCTTCCCCCCTCCTGACCCGAGATTTCACTGCACACCGCTGTGTTATGGTGCATGGAAAACCACGGAGCTGTTTCACCGCAGCTCACAGCATCTGGGCACCCCGGCTATTAAAACCTTTTATTTCTTCATCCAGCACTTGGCACACTCACTGGGTGTTTCGCACTGTTCCCAACCAACCCATTTGATCCCGAAGTTGATCGCTTCTTAAATATCAAACCCAAACTGGGGATTTATGGGCTTTGTTAATGTTGCTGTCACCTGGAGGCTGGTGCGTGGAAACTGGGCACGGCAGCAGCTGGACCCTGGCTAGCACTTTGGCAGCCACGGTTGCCTTTTGTAATCCGCTGCCTGCCTCAGCACAGGTGATGGGGAACGGTCTGGAAACGGTGAATAAACCCGATGAGATTTCACAGGATAGGTACAGGAGCAGAAGAAAAGCGGTGGTGATGAAATAGCTCCCTAACGAGCCTTTATTTCGTAACCGTGTGGTTCTGGAGCCAGAAGCTGCTACTTGTGTGCTGAAAAGCACTTTTTCTCCCTCTGTGGACGCGTGGTAATGAGGCCGGTCCCGCTCTCCAGGCTTGTGTCTGCTCCAACTGGGGCAAAGTTTCAGGGCTGGAGCCTGCTCCATGCTTTGGAGCGGGTGGTTTTTTTTCCCCTTAAAGCAAACCATCCAACAAAAACCTCCTTGTTTCCTTTGATGTGCTTATTTGCCAGTAAAACCAGGCACAACTCAAATTGCTAATTGCTTGCAAATTGGAGCACCAATTGTCAGGAAAAGAGATGGAGCCGCGAGAAGATGCCGGTTCCCTCCTCCTGTTTGGTGCAAACTTCAAACCCTGAGAATTGCAATTTGAGTCCAAAAAAAGTCCAAATTTGAGTCCAAAAGACACCGTAAAGGCAACGGTGGACAGTCTGGGAGCTACGCCTGCACATTTTGCCAGCCTAACTTCTGCATCTGCTTCATGGCCAGTCCAATTCCTGCTGCAGCTTGAGGACAGGGAGCAGGAATGAAATCTATTTTGGATGTGCCTCGTCGTGTTTTATCAGGGAAGAGCTGCAATATATTTCACTATTATGTGTATGTGTCATGTGTATACGTCCCCATATGTCCCTGGTGGTCCTGCAGAGACTCCAGGGACAGCACGTGGTGGTGCAGCTCCCCAGCAGGGGCTGTCCCAAGGGACGGGCATCCCCCAGGCTGCTGGCAGCAGCTTTTCAAACCCCTGGCGAGCTGCAGATTTGCACAGTAATGTCCATCGACCTGTCTGGCAGGCCCAAGAAGCTGACACTGAAAGGTTACAAGCCATATTGGTGCACCTTCAAAGATACCTCCATCTCCTGCTACAAGAGCAAAGAGGAAGCCAACGGGACACCTGCCCACCAGATGAACTTGAGAGGTAAGAGCAGCGTTCGCACACTTCCAAGGTATTCCAGTAATCGTCTGCCACTGCTGCGTCTTGGTTTTCCACTCGTTTGTGTTACTTTCATGCCATCCGAGGGCTGGATAAATACGTGTGAAGGAAAGAAGGTTTAATAGCATGGTATAAACTTAGATATCTAGCAAGTATGTGGTCCATGGTCATGTCAGAAAGTGCCACCACCTCCTCTGTAGCGCAGCTGTTGGGCATTCCCCACTGACCAGCCCATTTTTTGGCTGCAGAGCAAAGCCAAGCAGGTTTCTGTGAGCCCAAGGGGACAGCGTCCCAGTTTCCTTTTCATCACGGCTATTCAAAACTGCTGAACCAACTCCAACAGCAAAGAATGGGCCTGAGCGCACACTGAGCTGCAGAGAGCAGACCACGCTCTCCTTCTGCTCTCCCTCTTCTATTTTTTCCTCCTCTCCCAGGCACTGTCTGTGGGCAGCCTCATTCAGGTGCTCCCCGCAAGCTTTGCACACAGGTTTTACATCCCTCTGGCTGCCTGCCTTTATGTCAAGTCAAACATCCCTGCTCCAAGAGCGACCAAACTTCAGAAAGGGTATTTTTTTTTAGCACAGAGACAAATTTTGTGATGCCAAATGACTTCAGGCTGCAGCCCTGAGAAGTTCAGCCTTCATTATATTTATGGGAGCTTTTGGCATATTTTCCTTTGCTGTCCCATCTCACCACCCCCATGCTGGCACAATGGCTCGTAGCCCTTTGTAGACACTGAAAGTGGGATTTGCTCAAAGCTCATGCTCACCACTAAAGACAGCAGCAGTGCACCCAGCCAAGACAGTGACAGAGGGCTCAGGATCCAGCTAGCCACCTCTTCCTGCACTTTCATGAAAATTTAGGGATCACATGGTGTTTTCAGGCCATTGGGTCCGTTCCCAAGGCCAGGGAAGGTCTGGGAGATGAGTACAATGGGCAGATGTTAGCCTCAGCCTTGTTTTCGGACCAGATCTTGCTTTGTTTCCCTCTTTTTCCTACCACTTGGAAAAAGGGCTGTCTGTCAGGGGTTTTGTCCCTGCGACATGGAGCGCTTGTCCCATGGGAGATACGCTACAAGACGTTTAGCTGGAGTGCTTTGCATTTCCTTCTCTTTATTTTTTTTCCTCCTCCTTGTGTCTTTACACACACGTTGAACATCGGCTCCCTCGTTGCAGGATGTGAAGTCACCCCCGACGTGAACATCTCCGGGCAGAAGTTCAACATCAAACTCCTGATCCCCGTTGCGGAGGGGATGAACGAAATCTGGCTTCGCTGCGACAACGTAAGTCCGTCGGCGTGGGCCGTTTAGCTGCTGCTAATTAAAACAAACAAAACCACAGAGCACGTTTGCACGTGGAAGAATTTGGTGCTGATATCACGAGCAGCCCGAATCGGGAGGGCTGCTTGGTTTTGTCCGTCCATCCGTGTCGCGAAAGGGTTCTGTGCACCAGGCTCCCCAAAAAGGAGACTTTTGGGGTGTTTTGGCAGGCGGGGGACGGTGCCAGCTCCCCCTGCTGATGGTGCACGGGTCTCGTTTGGGCTGCAGGAGAGGCAGTACGCCAGCTGGATGGCCGCCTGCCGCCTGGCCTCCAAGGGCAAGACGATGGCGGACAGCTCGTACAGCATGGAGGTGCAGAACATCCTCTCCTTCCTGAAGATGCAGCACCTCAACCCGGACCCGCAGCTGATCCCGGAGCAGATCACGACCGACATCAACCCCGAGTGCTTGGTGTCCCCTCGCTACCTGAAGAAATACAAGAACAAGCAGGTAGGTGCCGGCCGCCTCGCCGCAGCCTCGGTGCGCACCTCGGCAGGAGCCGGCGGTTAACGCTGCGTGTTCGGACACTGCCTTTGGGTCGGATGCACACGGTTACTAAAACGAGTGCCCACTGAAGGCTGCAGAACCAGAAGCAGGGAATGGCACCCACCACCATCGTTGCACTGATGGGTGACGTGCACGCAAGCAGCCTGGGCAGTGGGGACGCAATCGGTGTCGGTTCCACCCCGCGCACGGCGCCGCAGGAGGGCAGGTCCAGCAGCGAGACCAAATCCCGGTGCTGGGACCAGAAATTTGCACAGAGCGGGTGCGGAAAGCCTGAGGATGAGCAGAGTTGCAGTTGCTTGCAGTGCTTTGTACAGACTTGGCTGTAACGTGGTTTGCATTTTTCCCTCTTCGCTTTTCCACTACTTCAGAATGCCAGGCTTTGAAACATGGCTTCATTTTAAATTGCTGTGACTCGCGCTTGAACTCCACGCTATATTCAGTCCGTGCATGACAGAGCTGAACTGTTTTGTGGTAGGAATAAATGCATGGCATTCTGAAGGACATTATATTTCAGCTCGGCAGCAGAAATAAGGCAGGCATTGCTCCGTGGCCTTTCGGTGACTTAACGGTTCGGCTGCAGCTCCGCAGCCTGAGCTGTATCCGACCTCTCAAACCCAAGAAGAAGGCTACGACTCAGAGAAGCAGGAAGAATATAACTTTTTATTGGCACAGCACGATGATTTCCTGGCAGTGGAGTTATATTTTATATAGCCCTTATTATTCTTCTGAATAAGCCTTTATATCCACTTGGATGGAGGAGAGGCTGCATAAATATCCACTTTTAACATATAGAATACCTTCTAGGCTTGAGCTCGGTAAAATGGAGGCACCTGGAAAAATATTAGCCTGCAGAACTTGCTTGCTGTGCAGGTATCCTTGTGCAGGAACCATGGGGGTGAGCAGGAGCCCTCGCCTGGCTCAGCACCCCAAATGCGGCCAGGGGCAGAGTTTGCAGCCTCAGAGGCTGTTTGCTGGGAGTGGCAGGGAGGGACAGACGGAAGGAAGGACGGACGGAGGAGGGAATGCGAGGAATTTGGCTGTGAGGGTCCCCCCGTGCCCCGGCAGAGGGGAGGAGGAGGCCATGCAAAATGGGAGTTGGCAATGGGCCTCGCAAGATGATTTGAAGCCGCAGCAGCCCCAAGCCCACTCAGGGGTTTGTTTCTCTCCACGTGCCGCTGCGGCAGTGCAGGCTTGGCAGGTTGGGTTCGAGGAGTGCCAAATGCTAAAAGCTAAAAAAAAATAATAAAAAAGAAAGTAAAAAAAAAGAAAAACCATTTGCATTCAGGGCTCTCAGCTGCACGAGCTGGGAATTGGCAGGGGTTTGATGTCCCTGCCTTGTCCCCAGGCAGCGCCTGGCTCTGCTGGTGGCGTCCCGCAGCCGCCTCTTACCCCAGCAGCATCTCCAGCGTTCCTCTGCCTATCTCAAATAAAAGCAGCTATTGAGCTCAGGGCCTTTTCCGTGCAAATAAATAGAGCTGAGTTTGCACAGAAGCAGGGAGAGGAGTGGGACAGCAGGAACTCTCCGATCAAAACCATTTCCACGACCCCGCACCGGCACGAGGGGCGAATCTGCTCGCTTGTCCCCTCTCCGCGCTTGCGTCCACCTTGGCTGCTTTTCTGCCTACGAAATTGTGCATGGTTTGTTTTTTTTTATTTTGGCTTGAACTTTGGTTTGCAGATAATTTGCACTTTTTCTTTGCTTTGTTGCCATATTTCTGATCGCTTTTTTTTCTTTCTGCCTCCTTTTCTTTTTTTTTTTTTTTCGCCTTGCCATCTACAGCCAGGCTATGTAAGAGACTTGGTAAGTGACAGCAACAATAAAATTAAGTTAAAACACTTAAAATAGCCTAGACCCCCTTTGGTTGTGAGAGCAGCGACGAAACAAAAACTAACAAAACCCATCCTCCCTGAGAAACTCTAGCCCCGTTTGTTTTTCGTAATGGTCCCCAGTGATTTATGCTGTGAAAGTAGAAACCCTACACCAGAAATTTGCCCTGCCGTTTGCTCACATCCTGCGTCTTAAGCGAAATGAGTCTGAGAGCTCTCTGCCTTCAGCCAGGTCAGAGCTCTGTTTGCTTTCTGTGTCTGGAGATGCTAAGCAAAAGCAGCTCCGTCAGCCGTGGTCCCGCTCTTTGAGCAAAAACAGCTGAAATACGTCCTCGGGGTAGAAATTGTCGTTTATCTGCACTGCTGATAACGGCGCTGACCTGCACGGTTCCCAGCGCCGGCCGAGCTGTGCCTTTCGGCGTGGCCGTGGCGAGTGGGGTGCTGGAGGTGCCGCTCACAAGCCCCGTGCCTAACGCTGCTGTGTCTCACCGCACCCAGATCACAGCCCGGATCCTGGAGGCCCACCAGAACGTCGCCCAGATGAGCCTCATCGAGGCGAAGATGCGGTTTATCCAAGCGTGGCAATCGCTGCCCGAGTTTGGCATCACGCACTTCATCGCGAGGTCAGTGGGCAGAGCAGGGCGTGTGCCGTGAATAAACGTGTTCCAGCTGAGCACTTAATGAGATCCTTGGGTTAAATCTGCATTAAATCTGCATAAATCTGTCGTCTGCAACTGGTCAGAGTGATGCAAAGCCATAGCTGCAAGCAGAGGGGGTTTGCCCCTACTGCTTAGGACCTGCACCCTTTCTTTCACACCTCTCCGGTGGCACATCCTGCGCCGTGAAGTTGCACCAGAACCGAAATTAAAAGCATCAAATCACATCGACTGTGTCGGGGTTAATCACATCGATTTATATTGTATAAGTTAACCAGGTTGCTGGATTTAACACATTTAGCTCCCCGTTAGCTCTGTGGTTACTAATCCCTCCCCGTGCCGCAGGTTCCAGGGGGGCAAGAAGGAGGAGCTGATCGGCATCGCCTACAACCGGCTGATTCGGATGGACGCCAGCACGGGCGACGCCGTCAAAACGTGGCGATTCAGCAACATGAAGCAGTGGAACGTCAACTGGGAGATCAAAATGGTAAGAGGGCAGAGCCCGGCTGTGCGCCTCGTGCTGCTCCGTGCCCAGATGTGCGAGCTGCAGAGTTTCAGGGCGCGCTGCTCGGTGTTTCACACACGTAGGCCACTTCCCCGCTTCCGTGGAAAAGATGTTGCTGTCATTTTTTTGTGCATCGGCTTTTAAAAAGTCCGATTTTTGTTGGTGTTTTCCAAAGCGTGGCTTTTGGGAGGCGGTCTGCTGGCACGAGGCTGGCTGGAAGCTCACGGTGCGCTGCTGGAAACAGCAATAACACGTTTCACTAAAGCTTTCAGGCTCTTTTCCTGGAGGTAGCTCTGGAGTGACATCCTTCTGCGTTCACGTAAAGTATTTTCTCCCCACCTCCACCCCCTGGAGATCCATCAGAGCTTGTCTGAGCAGCTGGTGGAGCCAAGCGTGACCCTTAAAAACGAGGAAAGAATTCAACCTTTAACTAAGCCAGTTACACGCTTAACGCGTAGCGCTTTTGGCCTGGTCTCTCCGAACACCCACTCAAGGGCAGTGAAATAGAATCAAACTTCAGGACTGAGGTTCAGGCGCGATCCTAAGCAGTAACAGCGATGTGCTGAGCCTTTATCCATATTAAAACCCATTTACTTGTGGCTCAGCTCAGATTTTCCTGTAACTCATGCAAGCAAGGCACTTTGCTGAGCTCCAAAATATTTTTTTTTACCAGCGGCTACGTTTGGGTGCACAAGCTCTGTGCTCTTCCCCATCACAGCATCCGATGCAGGCCTCCAGCCACCATGTAAAGGCTGTTCCTGTGTGCTTCAGGGCATGTTGAGAGCTGCTGGCAGAATTATTCAGGCTTGGAGTCCTTTTTTTGGACCCAGCTTGCAAGCTTCTGTATCCGAATTGCCCGGATTTTCTGCCAGGAAAACCCCAGCATTGCCCCCGCTGAGCTGTTGGAGTCGGGGGGGACGAAAAATTCCTGGGCATCAGGATGGGCAGGCACTCTGAAACAGGCTCCCTAACCCCGTAAAACATTCCTACAGCAAAACCTCAGCGTATAAATCCAAAATACACTCGCAGGGGAACCAGGAAACAAATCCCAGCCCTTATTAACAGTCCCGTGTCCAGCCTCTGCTTCTCGTAAAGCACAGAGAGGCACGAACAATGTAATGGTCTCTGCGGCGAAGGAGGCTTGCTCCTTCCCAGCAAGAGGCTTTTCTGCCCCCAAAATTTCAGCAGCGATGCTCCCTGCCCCTAGGTGACGGTGGAGTTTGCAGACGACGTGCGGGTGTCCTTCATCTGCACGGAGGTGGATTGCAAGGTGGTGCACGAGTTCATCGGCGGCTACATCTTCTTGTCGACGCGAGCCAAGGACCAGAACGAGAGCTTAGACGAGGAGATGTTCTACAAACTGACCAGCGGCTGGGTGTGAGGCCCAGGTACTGTACGCCGAGAGGAAACCCCCCGTGGCCATATTAATATTTAACTTTAAGAAGCTGTTATTTGAAATATGCTGCTTAATAAAGTAAGCTTGAAATGTATCTTTTTTTTTTTTTTAATCATGAAAATTTTTGCATTACCAGACCAGTTAATCTGTGTGCACTAATGAGCACTTCTGTTAATTTGCTATAACGAGACCGTGCCTGGGCCAGGTGATGCTGCCTGCCCCCTTTACCTACCGAACGTGCCGGCAGATCGGGATCAGATTTGACTGACCTTAAATAGCCAAATTCCTAAGAGAACTCTAAGCCATCTTCTTTAAAAGCCATCCAGGGCTTTAATTATATGAAGTCTATTTATCATGTTTAATGCATGAGTGTTTTATTTCTTTTTTTTTTTTTTCGTGTTCTTGTTTTTTTTTGTTTGTTTTTTTTTTAATTCTGTAAATTTGACCTGTTCGGAAGTTGTCCTACCCATAAGTAGAATTTCGATCTCTCTCCTTTCACACTACATGCACCAGGACTGCTGCAGGTGCCTGACATTATTTTGGAGATAGCTGCGTGTGGCCTTGAAGACGACCTCCTGTTAGTCTGTTATAGCTTGGTTTATTTGTTAACTTTCCTTTTGATAATCATTTATATTGTCTCTTTTTTTTTTTTTATTTTTACACCATATTGTATTATGACACTTTTAGTATTCACCAGCATAGCCACTGTTCTGCCTATGATATGCAAACTTTTTCATTACAATATGAAGTAAAGGTCTATGAAGTATAGATTTTGTGTAACTAATGTAAAAACACAAATTTTATAAAATTGTACAGTTTTGTTTTTTGTTTTTTGTTTTTTTTTAACTACTCTCACAAGCCAGCTAGGATATCGCGTAGATCTGGTGTATCAGCATTAACTGTAGTATGCCTGTAGGGGATAAGGGGAGTAACCTGGGGGGGGAGTGGAAAACAGACAAAAACCCAACAAACCCACCAGTTTCAGCCCAATTTTTACCTAAGTTAAGTGCGCCCTCGGAGCTGGGCCAGGAGACCCTCAGCGCCGGGCCCCGGGCAGGGGCTGCGTTAGCGCCCGCTCCTCCTGATGCCAGGAATAAGCAGTGTTGTGTTCCCGTAGTCTGCGGTTCCGAGACTATGTATAAATGCATTTTATTTTAAATAAAAGTCAAATCTTTTATTTAACCGCTGCCGTCGCTGGCTTCCGTGGTCGCGCTGCGCCCCCAAAGCCCTTCTTTCCTCCCCCGGGGTTCCCCCTGCCCCTAGTTTGAAGGCTGGGGATGTGACTGGGAGGTGATTTAGGGGTTGTGACTGCGGGATTTAGGGGATGTGAGCCTCGGGGCCACCCCTTTTCCCCCTCCCCGTGGAGCAGGAACCCAGCAAGCAGCGGCGATGCTGCTGTTTCGTGGGGACAGAGCTGGTGGGCAGAGCAGGGGGGCACCCAGACCACCCCGCTGCACCCTAAAACACCCCGAGAGAGGGACAGGGACCCTTTGGGAAGGGCACAATCCAGCTCACAGGTTCAGGTTCTCTTTTCTGAGACAGCAGAGCTGCTGATGGGGACGAGAAAGCAACGCCAGTCCTCAGCAAGGGCTGGGAGATGGGGACGGCGAGCCAAAAAAAATCATCCTACACAAGGGCCGGGGTTCTGCTGGAGGGGAGGGGAGGCAGGGGAAGGTGCATCCATCCCCATGTCTGTCCCCGTGTCCGTCCCCATGTCCCTCCGGGCTTGGAGGCTGCAGGAAATGGTGCGGGGGCTGCGGGGAGGTCGGTGCTGGGGCATGGGAAGGCCGAGGTCGCTCTCCTGCCCCCAGGGATGGGGGAAGCCTGGAGCCCTACAGGCTCCGGGGGGAGGCTCAAGAGGGGCTTGGGTTTTTGAGACTGCCTTTCCCGTCCCCTCTGGACATCCTCTGGGTGCCTCTGGCCCGGCCCCAGCCCCAGCAGGGCCACCCCAAGCAGGGTGCCCAGCCCCACAGCCAGGCTCTTTCCTTGGCTGGTACAAAAATCAAAGGGATTTGGGCACACGGAGGCACCCAGACCCCAGCTCCAGTGCCCGTGCTGGGTTTCTTGTGCTGACGTGGTGAAATCAGGCTGCGGGGTGGCCCTTTGGGGCCAACGAAAGAGAAAACCAACCCAAAAGCCACAGCAAGAAACCAGCGTGGGGGTGCCTGACTCAGCTTCAGGCAGGGCTCGCCGTGGGCAGCCAGAAACCAGTGGGAAAACCTGGGGAAAACAATTGCCACCGACTATTTTCCAGCAGACTTCACAGAAAGGTGCATTCAGAGTCACCCTCAGCCCTATTCCTGCATCCCCTCCTGCCCCCCAGACCCATCCTAATTCAATTTGGGCTGCCCTGATCCATGCCCAGCTCCAAACCTTCCTGCAACCCCGTGCCTTTATTTCATCTGCCAGCTCCAAGCACCATAAAAGCGCCGCACGCTTTTATTTGCGGCACCGAGGCACTAAAGAGATAAAAGATCTATAAGTATCTGCTGGATGTTAGGCATTAAAAAATAATAATAATAATAAAAGGTGTCTCCTTGCTCACATCTTTTCCAGTAAGTGCCAGCGTAATGGGGTCTGGGCTCGCTTTGAAGGGCCTGAGAGCAGAAGCCCCCTGGAAGCTGCTCCTCGCCCTTTCCTGAGCTCCCCGTCTGGTGCTCACCTCTCCTACTGGGGAAATGCTGATGGGAAACGCTGGTTTAGGAAGAATTTATAATTAAAAAAACCACCCAATTTATCCCAAAACGCTTTCATCCACTCAGCGGTTGGCTCTGCAGTTTATCTGAGCCGTGCAAAAAAAGCTGCAGCGCTTCCACTTTAGGGTTGTTTTTTTTTGCTCAACACGGGGGCATCAAAATATTTCCCCAGCCCAATGGACTTGGAAATGCCAACCCCATATTTTAAAGCGACTCAAATATGTGGGAAGCCATCAGAGAGCGAAATTACCCGAAAAGTTTTGCCTTTGACCCACAGGTAAGGCACAACCCTGAAGGTTTCCATGTGTCCGGGGGGTACCGAGCTTTGCAGAGCCGTGTTCCGGTGCCTTAACACCCCCAGCCCTGCACCCCGAACACACATCTCTTGTAAAACAGTGACAAAATCCCCCCCAAAAACACCCTGCCCCATCCCATGCCACCAGGCAGGCTGCTGGGGAGCTCCAGCACAAGCCTCCCACCCCCCCGGGCTGCGAAAACAGCGGTTTCAGCAAACGCAGGATTTGCTTTGGGTGGCTTTGGGCTTTTTTTTTTTTTTTTTCTTTTTGGCTTTTGGTCAGCAGATGGTCAGCCCCTAACGAGCGGGCTGCGGTTTTATTTCCTGCCGGGGAAACGGGGGTGTGAGATAAACGAGGAGCCGGGTCGCAAACTCGGCTCAGGGTGGTGCTGGCTGGGAGCTGCTCCCCCTCTTTGTCCCCAGCCAGGGGAATTCCTCGCTCCCCGAGGATCTGCACCTCGAGGCTGCTGCTCTGGGTTTTGGGATGCATTTGCTTTGAGGTTTTGGGGTGAATTTGCTTTGTTTTTTGGGGTGCATTTGCTCCAGGACTTGGGGTGCATTTGCTCCAAGCCCATCACCTTCTGCTTCCACCAGACTCGATGGCAAACGGCCCCACCACAGGGCTGTTTTCTCTCCCAAACATTTTTCCCCTTCCCATAAACAGGAGGAGCGGACGGGAACACGCCTGGGACCGAGGGGAAGTGAGGGCGGGGAGGGAGACGGGTGGGAGACCTCCAACGGCACCGAGGGGACGGATCCTGGAGGGGCCCTGGCAGCGGGGACATGGCTGGTAGGGTCCAGAAAGGTCCAAAAAGTGATTTTAATATTTTTCTGCTCTGCAGAATTAACAAAATATGTGTGGATATATTATTTTTTTGCCCTAAGCAGCCCCCCAGCCCTACAGATCTCCACCACCCCGAGCCTGGCTCTGATTTTCCCAGATCCCAGCGCTGCCTGGGGCATCCCACAGTCCGCCAGCCCTCCACAGCCAGGTCAATCCCAGCCCCTCCACGAATTAATCTCGAGCTCAAAAATAGCCCTGCAGGATTTCCTGCCTCCCCTCCCGCCGCTCCACAAGGTAAGAGGAAGGGGGAGGACCTCGGAAAGCAGGACCAAGGGCAGATGTGTCGCATTTGGCCCCGCGTTATCGCTGCCCTTTGGGGCTGAGAGACCTCCGTCCCCAGCACATCCCGGCCTTCCTGCCCCCCAGGGGCTTCATTAAGTTAATTAAAGTCATTAAACTCATAGGAAGCGGGTCCTTCGGAGGTTTGATCCGAGATAAAACGAGCTGGGATGTGCCTCGCATCTTGCCCAGCCCTAGGACTGATCCTCGTGGATTCGGGGCTGGTTTGGAGCCAGGCGGCATCGCCACTCCGTGTGCTTGGAGGAGGGTTTTTTGGGGGGAAAATTTGGGAAATTCTCACCCCCAGCTGCATTCATTCTTCCTCCCGTCCTTTCCAGGCCACCCCAAATGCCAGGCACAGCCCCGGCCCGTCCTGTGCCCATCGGCTCTGGGGACGGGCATCGGCCGCCGTTGGTTTGTTCCCTGCAGCCTCGCAGAGCAGCGGTTTCGGCTCCTGTTTAACAACCCAGCTCTTATCATCGCTCGCACAGCGCAGCCCGAGTGGAAGATAAAGAGTTTCCACCACGAGAGATAAACAGAGAGCGAGCCTGCCCAGCGCCCGTGCCCTCCTCTGCCCACCTCGGGGCCGGGCAGGACCCTGCTGCCCGCGGCAGGACGGAGCCCCCTGCCCCAGATCAGTCCAACTGTGCCCAGGGAAACCACTGGGGAAATGCCAATCTTTGAATTTAATCAAGGTCTTACACATAAAATCCCCCAGGAAGTACGGGGTGGGCCTTCTGAATTCCTTAACTTGTGGATGGGATGGTAGGAAAGATGGCAGTCACTGGAAAAATGCCACGTTGGCTCTGACAGATTATGCTTGGTAGGAGGGACAAGGGGAAAAACTCTAATTTATTCCCTAATCCACCCAAATAAATTGGTTTATCGAATCCACAGCATGCTAATCTCGTGCAGGAGGGCTGGAGAGAGCAGTCCTGGAGCGTGCTCTGCCTGCAGCGGATGGGAAGGTGAGCCCTCAACTGCGGGGACTGGAAATCTCCAAGTTCAGGGCTCTTTGGGAACAGCAGCACCGTTTGGGCTGCGTTCCCCATTTCTCAGCTCGGGGCCAGATCCGTGCCTGATCCTATGAGTCCGACCCAAACCCCAGCTCCAGCCCTGGGGCTGTCGGAGTGTGAGCTGGGATGTCTGAGAACTGAGGGGCGATGCTGGTAGGGACAGATGGGGATCTTCTGCACAAAAATAAATAAATAAATAAATAAAAATAAAAAATGTGCTCTTGATCCATGGTCAAGAAGCAGGAGAAAAGCTGGAGGAGCCGATCGCAGGCTCCTAGCAGGCTCTGCAGAGGGCAGGCTGGGGCTGCAGGAGCCGCCGTGGGGCAGGGGGTGCCGCGCACCTGCGCTCCCCGACACTTCCCTTTCCCCCCCGCTGCTAAATGACGCTCGGCTTCTTGGCTCCAGGTTGGATAATCATTTCCAGAGAGGCAGACGTGTTCCAGATGCACGCCTCCTTCCCTAATGTTATCGTAAGCCCTGCAGAAATACCATTTCCCAAGTTCCAGGCGGCCATCTGGATCGCGGCAGAGCTTTGGGGAGGGCTGCCAGCTTTCCCCTACGACTTTATGAAGTCCTAGCAGGTATTTAGTTTATCTCTATCCACCCATGGGTGACATTTGGGGAGATGTGGCAGCATCTCTCTTTCATCTTGAAAGTTAAAAGTGCTGGGTCCTTTGTGAAATCTGGGCGCCCGGAGCTGTTTTAGGCAGCCCTCCTGCAGACATCGCTTCCAGAGCTCAGGATTCAGCCGTGGGTGGATTCAGCCTGATCCGTGAGAGGGTAAAAAGAACCAGAGCGGCCCGTCCCTAGGTAGACGGAGCCCTGAGCGTGTTTCCAAAACAGAACATAAACAATTTGATTGTGGCAAGGATTTACTCGTTCTTGCTGCATTGTGTCATATGGCAAAATGAAAGGGGAGCGCGTTCTCTCCTCATAAAGCAGGGCGTGCTTCGGACCCAGACATTGACATCAAGCAAGTGCATGGCTCCTTTCCCGTCTCTCCGACCGTCTTGCGGTCACGAATTTGCAATTTCCTTGCCTTGTAATCGCCCCGTTCCAGCGCTGGCAGACGCGGAGCAGCCCGAGGATATCACTTTGCTTTTGCTCTGAAACAGAATCCGCCGCGGTGGAACCGGCGCTTGTGACATGAGTGGAAATGCTTCATTTCACCTTTTTGCAACCAAATCCTGGCCTCGGCGGTACCGTGGAGATTTATCTGCTGGCTGCTGTGAATCCTCACTGACCTGCATCACTTGACCTTTGGAAAGCCACCGTGGGTCTTACAGATATCTCTAGAAGTGGGAGCTCATCTGTGGCCACTTGCCTTCCACCGTGCTAAGGAACGAGGCTTGTTTCGTGCGTGGACCCTCGGGGTGTTCACAAAGCGGCTGAGCCCTTCCCCAGACACTCAGTTATTCCTCAGAAAGCCTTTAAGAGCATCGCCATCTCCTTCTGATGTGGTTAAAATCAGAGAAAGGGCTTCGAGCTCGCTGCACAAGGAGAGAGGGGCGCTGAAAACCAGCTGGCAGCGCTCTGCCCTGCCTGGGGGGCTGGCACAGGGTCTGCTGAGGGGGTTTACAGACCCTGGGGGGGTGTGAGGAGCAAAGCCTAATCCCTGTGTATCAGCAGCCTGTCCCTAAAACACTGCTGGAATGGAGGACGCTTTTGGAGCCAGCAGCCTGGCAAATTCCTCTTCCCTTGGGGGGGAGATTTTTCATCTGGATCATTTCCCTGCTCTGGTTCAGGCCCACGCTGCTACGAAAACCCACAAGTACAAATAGTTCCTGTCCTCACGCCACGCTGAAGTCGGTACCTCAGTGGCTGTAAATAGAAAAGGGCCGGTCTCTGGGACTAATAAAAGTGGAGTTTTAAACAAACTGAAGGCTTTTTTTTCCCCCATTCAGCGCCGTTACGCTGAGGCGCTCTGGGAGCTCTGGAGGTCAGGAGCTGAGGCATGGAGGAGAGCAGCTTTCGGGTGTTAAACACCAGGGGCCGGATGAAGCTCCTGGGTCAGGATGTCCCTGTGCTGCTGAGTGCCGGAAACCTGGAGGATGTGTCTGCATTTATCCAAAATCTCTGTTCCTGGGCAGGTCCCGGCCATCTGCGCCCAGCCCTGCTGGGGAGAGCTGGCCTGACCCCATGTGGTCGTTCTCACAGCGCTGTCACGGCACAATTTTCTTTGGTAAAAGCCTGGATTTGTCACTGTGACTTGGGTAAAATGCAAAACCTCCCTCACACCTGTGAATCTTTCCACTGGAGAAGAGGCATCGCAGAGGGAGTTAAGCTAAACCCCTTTCTGTCATTTTTTCACTCAGTGGAACTCATCCGCACTCACAGCGACGCTGTTTTAACCAGCAAAGCTGCGATTCTCAGTTTCTTGTTGCACTTGAAGTGGGATAAACTGTTCATTTCTTCACATGGATGGGACCTTTCCAGCCCCCAGACTCGCATCGTCACCAGACCTCGGGTGTGCCTGACCCCAAGGAGTTTTTGGTGTGTGTCATCCTCATCCGGTCACTGGGGCCGGAGAAGTAAAAGCCAAATAGTGTTGATTGTTTCCTCAGCAACCGAGTGATTCATTCTGAGGGTAAAATATCAGGGGGAGAAGAAACGTGGAAAATGGAAATCATGTCTCGGGAGCACGCTGTGTAATTATTTTGCTCAGCAAAACCTCCCGCCCCGTGCTACACACACGCCGTGACCTCAGCTATTTATAAGGCAGCATCTCGAGCTGATCTCTCTTTTGACGTTTTCTTTATTGGAAGGGAACGGAAAAAAATCAGCTCATTTGTGCCCGCTCCGCACTTTGAAAGCTCAGTAAGCAGCGGGCAGCAGGTGTTGCTCGAGGGAAATAACGGAGCCTCCTCCAAAATCAAACCCCTAGAGCCAAAAAAAAATAAATTACCCATTCATGACACACTCCCAAACCCTGCCAGGCGAGCAGAGACCCCCAAAAAATCCCAAAATAGCCCCAAAGCCCCCCTAACCCTGCCCCTTCCCCTCACAGCCGCCCCCATCCCCTCAGCGCCTTCCCCCCCCTCCCCCTCCCCTCAGCGCCGCCGCCATTTTGCCCGCCCCCCCCCACCAGAGGCGGGAGCGCTGCGCGGTGGGCGGGGCCTCCCCTGGTGGGCGTGGCCAGGAGCCGAGCGGCGCGGTGATTCGTCAGCCGGAGGGCGGGGAGGGCGGGGAAAAGGCCGGAGCCGGGCGGTGATTGGCTGCGCGGCTCCGCGCGTGCGCGCCGGGCCCCGCCCCGCTGCCACGTCCGTGAGGCGCTAAGCCGGCGGTTGGCGCCGGGGCCGCGTGCGCGGGGCGGTGAGTGAGGGGCGGCCTGAGGGGGGGGGGGGGGGGGGGGGATTTGGGGGCTCTGAGGGGGCTTTGAGGGGGGTTTGGGGGGCCTGAGGGGGGTTTGGGGGTGCTGGGGTGGGCCCTGAGGGGGGTTTGGGGGTCCTGAAGGGGCTGGGGGGGCCCTGAGGGGATCCTGAGGGGGCCCTGAGGGGATCCTGAGAGGGCCCTGAGGGGATCCTGAGGGGGCCCTGAGGGGGCCCTGAGGGGGTCCTGAGGGGGTCCTGAGGGGGCCCTGAGGGGGTCCTGAGGGGGCCCTGAGGGGGCCCTGAGGGGATCCTGAGGGGGCTCTGAGGGGCTCTGACAGGACCACAGCAGCAGCCCAGAAGCCCCGTTGGGCTCCCAGCCCCGCAGAGCCTTCCTCTCAGGGCCTTGACCTGCCTGCCATCATCTGGGGGCATAATGTGGGGTGCGAGGGGCTGCTTCAGCGCCCTAAGTGCGTGGTTTTGTCCCGGAGATGTGTGTTAGGTGAGGTGGGAGCGTGGTCGGTGTGTGTCAGGAGGAGGCGTGAAGCTGAGGTGTTTTTATTGATTTGTTTTCATTGAGGGACTCTTTCGGTTGGTTCTCCGAAGCCGCCTTCGGTCTTGGGGCTTCCATGCTGCGGTTGTGCCGAGTTGGCTGTGCTGTGGCTTATTGTGAGAGGTAGTCATCGTTAACAGCAAAAAAAAAGTGTATTTAATTTGAGCCATGTGAAAGCACATGGCTACTGAATCGTTTATGGTGCAACAAAGTGAACCTGAAGATTTCTCAGGAAGGCTATGAAGCTGGGGAAGGGCCTGGAGCACAAGTCCTGTGAGGAGCGGCTGAGGGAAATGGGGGAGTTTGGGCTGGGGAAGGGGAGGCTCAGGGAGACATCATTGCAACTGCCTGAATGGAAGGGGTGGGGAGCTGGGGGTCGGCCTCTGCTCACTGGTAACTGGTGATGGGACCAGAGGGAATGACCTCAAGTCCCATCAGGGGAGGTTCAGGTTGGAAACGAGGAGACATTTCTGCTCAGCAAGAGCAGTCAGGCGTTGGGACGGGTTGCCCAGGGAGGTGGTGGAGTCACCGTCTCTGGGGGTGTTGAAGGAGAGGTTGGACGTGGTGCTTGGGGACGTGGGTTAATGGTGACGGTGGTGGTAGGGGGTGGTTGGAGCAGGTGATCCTGGAGGGCTTTCCCAACCTTAGTGATTCTATCAAGTTCCCGTATGTTCTGTTTGTACCAGGAACCTTACCGGGTATTCCTGTTACAAAGAAATTATTTGCTGTATGATCAATAAAATGTCCCTGTGCTTCCTTGTATCCCAAATTCTAACTCATACAACTCCCAGCTCCCTCGTTAATCGTTAACAGCTGTCTCAGCACCATCCTGGCAGTTCTGTGTTTCACCTGCTAAGGGCAGCGAGGCACTACGCTTTACAGCTGAGATAGCACTTCGATTTAGTAAATAGACAGAGCAAACAAGAAATGTTCCGTGGGCTGTACACGTGTGTGAATGCTGTTGGATCATCCCTGTTCCCACAGGTGTGGTGCGGTGGCTCTTGGCCGAGGCACTGCGTGTTTGTGGGGTGGGTGGGTTGGAAGCAGTGCTCGTCCTGCCAGCGGGAAGAATAGAGGGCTGTAGAGGCTAAATATCCAGGTTAATCTCTTATCTTTCCCTTTTCTTCTCTATGAGGAAGAACCTTCCTGGCTGAGCACGAACGGGCTGTTTGTGTTGACTTTAGCTAACGTGCTCTTTGTGTAACCTGGTGTCCCGGTTCGGTGAAGGTCAAATACCTCCAGTTGCAGATAAGTGGACGGCAGTTTGGGTTTCGTTCACTTTTCTTTACCTCCCCTGAGGATCTACACAATCTGCAAAAATCGCGTGTTCAGGGATTAAAACAATCAGGATTGTTTAAAACAACAGGGATTAAAGCAGAATGTTCCTTACCCGCGTGTTTCCTGTTTCAGAACACCTCTCGCAGCCATGATGCCTGTTGCAACCGTGATGCCTGATGACACGCCGATGTTTGACCCCAGTATTCTTCACGAGCTTGACTGGAGCGAGAACACGACAACGTTTTCTCCTGCTATTTCTCCGCTGGAGCCAGGAGATGGCCTAGTAATGAGACCACTGTGCACGGCTGATGTAAATCGAGGTAGAATCCTGTTTCATGACCATCACAGACAAGAGCTGGGTGCTGCACTAGACAATATTTATTCTCCATTCTCTCTCAGTAGATCAGCAGTACCTGTTTTACATGATTTGGGTTATTTATTTTTATTGGTAAGGAGTTGGAGCACTTGGCACCATGGATAGCTGCTGTGTTGGTGACCCCCAAAACTGGTTTTACTGTTCTAATGACCTTAAAAACAATCGTAAAATTCAACTTCATTCTTTCAGAATAATCCACAGCTTCCTATTCACCACAGCTTTAGAGGGGGAGTAGAATTGTTCATGTTATTCCCTTCAGTATAAAAGTAACGTGAACCAGCGTACTGCTCTTAGCGTGTGAAGACTTCTTCACACCTGTAACTTAGGAGAAGGAGGTTGTTCTGAACAGGCAGCTAAACATTGCCTGATTTCAGCCTTATCCTTTCCTTGCTTAAATGCCTGCATCTTTTTATTCTGCACTCAAGCTGCGGTTGGCTGCTGTTGCGTTAGCTGATCCCAAATTGTGTATGGTGTGTTCGATTTTAAGCTTAGAGTCTGTGATATGCGGAGTGCAGGCCTGTACATACAGCTGAATTAGATGATGCTGTAGAGATGGTAACAAACAGCCCTGTCAGGTGGTTCTGTGCTATTTGTGTGTTCCTGTTCCTCATGAGTCTTTATTTTTTCCCCTTTTATAACAGGCTTTTTCAAGGTTCTGGGTCAGCTGACTGAAACGGGAGTTGTGAGCCCAGAGCAGTTTATCAGTGAGTAGATCATTATTTCTTGGCGTTTCCACCGAGCTTGCTGGGAACCAGAAGATGCTGACAGCAAATCCACCTGGCTGTGAGGTTTCTGACTGCCTGATGCCAGAGTGATTTATTAGCTCAGGTCCCCTGAGGCAGATTTTGGCACCCAGCTTTGAATTCAGCTGCAGCTGTCCCAAAGGGCTCCTTGGCTGGGATATGCTTAGGTTGTGTCCTTGCTTTGGAGACCGAGCTTTAGCTTCCTGGCAGAAGGGAATGCCTGGTGAGGGCTTGTTTGGGATGAATTATTGCAAGCACCAGTAGTGAAGTGGAGGCTTGCCTTTGAAGCTCAGAACATCGCTGAGCTGTGTTTCACTAGTCTGAGGTGTAAGAAAACTTCCAGGAGGGACTGCTGCCTTCATCCTAGTGCCCATCTGCTGAGATGCTGGGGAAGGAAGGGCCTCTTAGCAGCTGGGGAAATGGCATTTACTTGACACCTGCTTTTTCCTGGTTCTGTCTCTGCGTTGGTCCACCTGGGCCTTTCAGGTTCTGATGTTTTGGGCACGTCTCCCTGGTGATCCTGGATTCTGCCGTGATCTGCATGCAGAATCTGATCCAAGTGTTAGGCTTCACAGCAATTCAATCCAAGGCTAACAGTGACTGTTCTGCTCCCACAGAAACCTTTGAGCACATGAAGAGATCTGGAGATTACTACGTTACTGTCGTAGAAGATACAAATCTCGGGCAGATTGTTGCTACAGCAACGCTGGTTATAGAACATAAGTTCACTCACTCCTGTGCAAAGGTATGCTCTCTTTCTGCAGCTGTAGTGAGGAAAAAGATGCTGTCCCCAGAATACGTGTACGTTATTTTTATGATGTTACTGTGTAATGAAGTACTTCTGCTGAGTCAGTGATAAAGGCATTTTAAAAAACACCATCCTTGGGTGCTCAGCTAAGAAGTAAAAGGAAGATTTGGCTTTTTGTAAGGAAAAAAAGCAGTTTGTCTGTCCCGCTCTTCAACAAGTCAGAGTGGGTTCTGATGGAGCTGAGGATCTCACTGCTGGGGAGTCCCAGCTGGATGTAAACAGGAGCTGGAGGGGTACAAATCCCTCAGCAGGGGAGAGGCTGTGGTGGGACCTCTACACCTGCAGGCGCTGTGAATGCCTCGAAGGGAGGGATTGTATCCAGCCAGACAGCAGAAATGCAAGCATGGAGCAGGGAAACAACACACCAGTGTTCTCAACTAACGCTTCTCTGCATTTTCACAGAGAGGAAGGATAGAAGACGTAGTAGTAAGCGGGGAGTGCAGAGGAAAGCAGCTTGGGAAACTGTAAGTATTTTATCCTTTATTTTTATCTTTGCAATTCAACATCAGGCAGGGCTGCAAGCTCCATCCACTTGGTTTCTGTCCCCCCACCTTAACATTGATCAGTGCCAGCAAACAAGTTAACTGCAGTGGTGATGAGTTGTCTGTGCAAGAATCTCCTCTGGGAAGAGCAAAGTTTGCAGCTGCAGTCAGTGTGGCAGCACGGAAGGTGGCTGTTGTTTGAAGTTAGCCCATCCCTCTCTGGGCGGTGGGGATAAGGCGTAATTATTGCTCTCAGGATGCCATCTGCCTGTCCTTTGCCCTCTCCAGACAATACAGCGCTCAATTAAACTGCGACAGAATCACTCACCAGACCTCAGAGCAGGATTTTAGTTCCGCGAGTTAGTGGGGCAGATTCTTCCCAGCCAGAAACCTCGCAAGATTTTAGCCAAAAGCTATCACAAGCCGGCAGAGTGCAAGCTGTAACTTAAAATTGTCTGGTAGACTCTGGTATGTCCTTCTTTTTTCTTGGGGTAGCAACCATCCCGTGTACCGAAGAACACAGAGTCTGTAAAATTTGTGTTGTTGGTGTGAGGCTGGGGAAGGGCTGCAGGGTGGTTAGTAGGCTTTTGCAAGGGACTTTGGAACTTTCTTCACTGAAAGGGTTGTGGAGTCTTGGAACCGGCTGCACGGGAAGTGTTGAGTCACCATCCCTGGAGGTCTTCAAAAAAAAATGTGTAGGTGTAGAGCTTAGGGACATGGTGCAGTGGTGAACCAGGCAGTGCTGGGTTCAAGGCTGGACCGAGTGATCTTAGAAGCCTTTTCCAACCTGAATGAGTTGATACCTGAAATGGAGTGCTAGTTTCTACAGATGATGATGTAGGATCAAAGATCAAATGCACTAAAAATACTTGAATTGGTGTTTTATTATGGTAAACTTACTTTCTCCAGCACTTATTTTTAAAAATGATTGGTAACTTTAGCAAATTTCACGTTGATTGATCCTGTGTTCAGGGCCATTTCATTTAACTGCGCTGTTTCTCTGTCTCTTTCAGATTAACGTCCACTCTTACACTACTAAGTAAGAGACTGAACTGTTACAAAATCACGCTGGAGTGTCTGCCAAAAAACGTGGCTTTCTACAAGAAGTTCGGCTACTCGGTATCTGAAGAAAACTACATGTTTCAACGGTTCTTTAATTAAGAACTTCTAGTGATTTTTTTTTTGTAAAGACTGTTGGTGGAGGAGCTTGTGCTACAAACCGTTCTAATAATGGAAAATTTATATAGTTTATTGCTGCAAATATAATGATCCCTATAAATACTGAACATCAAATGTGTAAATCTTGCAAAAAAAAAAAAGCAACTTACAATTTAGGAGGGTTCTCTGGGTTAGCTCTTAGAACTAATTTTTACTACTGTTCAGTGTAAGTGAAGCTCTTTTGTTCTAGCTGAGTTACAAAGGACTCTCGTTAAAGGGATGGTTTTTAACCAAAGGTATATATTTTTATCTCAAATTTTTTCTTGCCTCGTATTTTTCTAAAGGTTTGCGCTTCTTTTCTTGGTAGCCAAAGTGCAGCTCGTGGGGTCGTGCTCCTGGCTGTGCTTCACTGAAGAATGATGTAGCTTGGGCAGGGAGGCTTCTCGGACGCAGAGGTGGTGACACAGGATGGGAATTTGTTCCTTTTGTGAAATCTCACTTAAGTGCTGGTGACGTTAGAGTACCTAAAGTTTTATAGGCACTATTTTCTGGATTTGTTACTGTTAGTGCAGGTTAGGGGCTCTGATTAAGGTGATGGTGAGTTTAGATAGTTTTTAATGCAGGGGCCCTGCACTTTAGCTGATAACTTGATTTGTTTTCAGGATAATTATGTTTTCTGACAGACAAACCCATGGTTTGTGACAGGGCAAAGGAAACTGGAATGCCTGACAGAAGGCACCCCACTCTTAGTGGGGCTTCTGCTAGCGCTCAGTGGGAATGTTAATGCCTTCCTCTACGAAGGCAGAAACGCGTTCAGCTTCACCAAATCCACCTGACCACCGCGCTGTACTTGAACTCCGTAGGGCTGCTTCAGCCGTGGTTTTGCTGGTGACCACTTCTACCTACAGCAGTGCGACCCGGCACGGAAATCCCAGGCTCTGGTCCCGAGGGGTTGCTGCTGCTTCGTAGAGCATCCCCCTTGCTGTAAGATTGGATAAACAATTTTAGCACTTTTGCCCCCGGTGGCAAGCAAATAACGTACAAAGCCCCGACTTCAACAGTAGCGTTTTGTGCAAAGGGAGTGACAAATCCCACGTCCGTGAATAGGGCATTATAAACACAGGAGGGTTCTGCAGACCAGCCGGGCTTGTTTGTGAGCAGGCAGGCCTTACAAAACGTTCTTTCGTCGTGCTGTGGAGAGCTCCTTTAAGCCGTGGTGCGGGGTTCTATTTAATGTTCCTGATGGTACTCCACTCAATATAGTGTTTCCTTGATAATGTCTGTTTTATTTATTATTTTTTAAAAATCTTTGTTTAAGCTGAATAAATTAAGACTGCCAACTGTATCTCTTGTTTCTGATTTTGCTGTTTTGCCTAAAGGTAAAAACCTCTGACACAGAGGTCTAAAGCCTCTATAAACCATAAAAATATCTGATGCTCAGTTTCATCCTTGCAAGTGTGACTTCTAAGAAGCAAGTCTTGAAGTCCTCAGCTCATCCTGGGTGAGTACCTGTCCTCAAACCAGAGGTGGGCACCTGAGCTGTGATGGCTGACAGAGGCAGCCAAAACCTCAATTTCTTGCAGGTTTTATCAGCTTGGAATTTCCACTAATTCAAACAGGACTGGGACTTCTGCTTCTACACCACCTAACTAGCTCCAGGCCCTCGTTAAGAGTTAATGAGAAGATCGGTGAGGAGCAGGTGATTGTGAGACAAATGAGCTGGGTTGAAAACTTGGTTTTGTGGCTGTGTGGCAATGCTTTCAGGTGTGAAGAATCCAGCTCAGCAGCAGTGCTTCAGCAGGGAAGGTTGCTCTGTTCCCTACCACAGGTGATGTTCTCAACCCTGTCACATTCCCCCAGGGAAAGGGCAATGGGTACAGAAGCTGCTGTCACCTCCAGAGTCACACTTGTTGCACTGCTGGGCTGGCAGGAAGCCCTCTGGAGGAAGAGTGAGTGGTTTTTACATGAGGAAAGGGGAAGGGTTTTATGCGAGTGGGACTTTAACAAGCAAGAGGCCCTAGAATCATTCAGAGGGCATGTACCTCAAGCACACGGCCACCCCTGGAGGAGCTGGAAGGGCTCTGAGTGGTGCTGGCAGGTGCTGTTAGCGCTGGTACCAGCCCAGGTGGGGACTTACCGTTCCCAGGAATGGCAAATCTACTCAGAGAACAAAGGAACCAAGGATTTTATCAGGAATCATACATGGAAACGCTTTCTAGTAACCTGGAGCTAACTACCAGCTTCAAGGGAGGTTTAATCAGCCTTGGGCTTTCAGCTGGTTGACAGCTCTCTACCCATGAATTTCCAGCTCCTTCACTCAGCTTACCCTAAGCTGGAAAGGGAACTTTGGTACCTTAACATTCAGCTGTTGGTTCCCCAGAGACAGTACTGCAGTTCTCCCTCAGAATCTGGGAAAGGAAGAAAATTCAGCCTGCAGTGGTACCCTAAAGCCCCAGGGAGGGACCCTTGCTGCTGATTGCTGCTGCTGGTTTAGCCTCAGGAAGCAAATCGTAATTGAAATACGTACCAGCAGTAAGCTAAACAAAACGCAAGAAATGACAGCTTTAAATAAAAGGCAGAATAATAGCACATGAGAGGAAACCTAATCTCAGGCTCCCTTAGGATCTGAGAGGCTGGTATCTGCAGGGCAGCAGGCAGACAGACCAGAATGACTCTAAACCAGACCAGGATGACTCTAAGAAGTCCTCAGCAGGGGGTAATGGGATTAAAAAAAAAAGATTGGTGTAAAGTCCTTAGTCATGGAGGCTGTTGGTTTGCGAAACTGTCTCCCCAGGGAAACGCCAGGACCCCAGTGAGGTAACAGAACCAGGCTGCATGAACAAGCCTCGCTGGCAGGGAAGGGTTAGATGAATCAAGTGTTCTTCTGTCTGTGTTTCATCTCTGCTCTTTCCCAAGAGTTCCAAGAGGAGCTGAAATAGGAAGCAGTTTTAAGCAGAAGTTCTGGTTCCCACCCTTCTTTCATCAGCTTGTAGCCGGCAGCAGTCAGGGAGCTGTACAAAGGAGGCAGCCCCAAACTCTGCACTACAGCCAGCTGGTAGTGCTGTGGGGTGAGGCAGCAGGGGATTTATTTCCCAACAACCCCAGAAGCGTTCCTTTAGAGGCAGCTAACACCACAACCACCCCACAACGAGCACCCTGTACTTGGCTGATGTGCCAGAGGACAGCAATAAAGGGAAAGTGCTGCTGAATGTGGCTCAGCTCCCCTGAAGCAGTGAGCCCTCCTTGTACACAGCACTCCAGGGCCCTCACGTGCCACACGAGAGGATGATGAGGCTACAAAGCCTCATCCAAGTGCACAATACTCAGTTTTCAAACCAGAATCTGTTTGTAACAAGGTCTCTAGCCCTCACACAGGAAGAGCTCAGCAGGGACTGTCCCTCTGCGAGCCTTCTGGGGAGCTGCAAGAGAAGGCAGAGGCTCAGTGACTAAGCCAAGATCAATAAATCACAGGCGTGGTCAACGTGCCTTGAATACACAAAGGCAGAAGTCCTCTATGAAGTAAACAGGCAGTCCTCAGCAAAAGGCAGCCGCTGAAGAGATCCTCACAGCAAGTACAAAGCGATATCACTGCTCAGATCCACGCAGGCTGCTCCTTCTGAGGCTGACAGAGCACATCAGCCTTCTGCGTGCAGCTCTATCAGAGTACAGGGAAGGAAGCTGGCTGCTCAGATCCCCAAATGCCTTTTACATTGATTAAACTGTCTTAAGCCCACCTATTCGCTGTTAAAATACAGCCTAATGACAAGATTTCCCACATCCACCACTTCTAACAGCTTTGCCATTTGCTCAGTCAACACGCTGCTCTAAAGGAGCCATCGTTTCTTTCATATTTTTTATGCAATTGACCAACTGGCAAATAAAGCAGAAACGTAGAACTGAGACTGCACTTACATTGTGAGCAGCTATCACAGCTGCTGAGAAGGGGGAAGAGTTAAAGCTGCACAAACTCCCTTAGCAACTCCCAGTCTGAGAACTTTAAAGCACTGATAAATGTGTGGCCTTAATCATCTCTTCAATTTAGAAGAGCCACGGGGAATCCTTTTGGTCTTGATACTGCTGTGGTCACTGCTTCAGGCACCAGTTTTCAATACTCACCCATTTTTTTACCTCAAATGATGCAACTGTTGTCTTATGCTGGGAAATTCTTCAATACCAGTCTGAAAATGCACTATTCTAGTACACAACTCAACCACACTGGTTGTTCAGCTTCTTAAATGAGTGATTTAACAAGCAGCTGTTTAATGCTAGCTGAAAGAATTCAGTCTTGATGTGTGTAAAGTTGGTAGCTGCCTTCTGTATTTAATAAAATAGCCATGTGCTAAGTTATCAGTACTCTGGCAAAGTAAATTAACTTGCATAAAGCAAGTAGAGATTTTCAGAAGTTTTCTCTTAAGTTGGCCTCAGTGTCAGTCTCAAAATAAGTCAGTATATAATAAGATTTTAGAACAAAATAAAGAGTTAATACTGAATAGATCGCTGCTGTTGCTCAGTTGCCAATAGCAGCACACAGTGTGGCTTGTAAAGCTCATTTCTATGAGCGTGACCATAACATAGTGAGAACAAAGTGAGTTTTAGCAAATTTTTTCTTTACTAAAGTCTCTTGTTATAAATTACACAAATAACTTTATAAACAAATCCCCCCCGCTTGCATTTTGTTTAAAGTAATAACTTTATATCATACAAATAAAGAAATTTCAAGTATGAAAAGTGCATTATTGCAATAATACCTCTTTGCAAGTCCAAAAATCTTGGTTTAGAATAAAACTGTAAAGTGTAAAAAAGGAGTAAAACAATCAGTGCCATCTATTCATTCAAGAAGTCCAACATCTTAAAAATGATGCTTAGTGTGTTGCAGAGGCAGATTTGCATCTGAAAGCAACATGTAATTGAAAAGAAGCTATGTGTGTGTTCATCGGTTTGCATTACTAATTTTTTTCCCCTAGTTTTCTTCACCTTTCTTGGCAGGAATTCACAATACAAACAGTGCTGTCCTCAGGTATCATCCGTTCTGTGCTGCTGCCACTTGCATGGTACCAAGTTCTTCGTCCTCTTCGTGCATTCGCTTTAAACTTCCTACAAAAAGGAAAAAAAAAAAAAAGAGGCTAAGTAACAGCTGTAATAATACCCATCTGTGAGCAGGGCTACAGGACAGCTGTTACTGTTTTCTTTGAGGAAGTCAACCCTTAAAAGGGGTCAACATTCAGTTTCTGGGACAGGCAGTTGTTTATAGCACTCTTCTTCCCTTGCTTTCCTCCACAACAAAGAGAAATTTCCTAGAACTCACTATTTTGGGGCTCTCTTTGCATCTCCCGCATGCTTCATTTTTCTATTCAAACAGAGCTTGCACATCAACTGCAATTATTTCCTTCCCAAAAGTCTGAGATTCACTGCTGCTGGGGGTTTCGTCTACTAAGAGTGTGAGACAATCACCCACAACCCCAGGCTAAGCAGCTGAGATCACAGAGAAGAGGTTTCTGACCTGTAGTACCAGGTGGAACAGAGAGGGATCTCTCCAGCTGCAGTGGTGACATCATCTGGATGGTTAATTTTGCTAGATAGATGGCTTCATATTCCTGGGGAAAAAGTAATACATATTGCTATTTATTTTTTTTAATGCTTTGTAAGGAGGAGAAGGACTAACTCAGAGTTCAGGACACATCAGAGGGTATTTTACAGCAAGGCAGAGATTTTAAAGGAGTGTTGTTTTGACACGAACAACAAAAACCACTAGGAAGGCAGAGTAAAAGAAAACCCACAGGGTGACAAGAAATGGCTTTAAGAAAGAGAGAACTGTCATCAGAAAAAAATCCCTGAGAATGTTTAGAGAACTTCTTGTTCCCAGCAGGCAATTCAGACAGCAGAAGCAAGCCAAACTGAGGATATAGCGACTGCAGAGATTTGTTACAAGGACAAACCACACAAGGACTTCAAGTTGTGTTCCGCTGACCCATCACGCCTGTTACTACCCAGCAACTCCTCACTAGGGATTACTTAAAAACACACACACACACTCAGGAGACATTTAGTCATCTCGCTGCCAGCCACTTAAGTAACAGCGAGAGTGCAAATCTATTTCACCACACTATCCTGATGCTTGCTGACCACGCACTCAACAGGCTCCTGGAATATGATAAAGCAATTTCGTGGCATTTAAGGTTTGCTGTTTCATACCCGTGAACTTCATCGTCTATGAATGCAAGTGTCAAGAAGCATCATGGATGTGTGCTAAAATATCCACTTCACACTTTCCTTAGCCACCAACTAAGCTATTTCAGAGCCTTTTGATCACTACACAACACTGAATTTTCTTTTTTCTTCCATTCC